CATATTGCTGACTTTGGGCTAATAAAAATGCAGCAGAGACGAATGCTATCATGTATCATGGTGCCAGACAAGGCTTCCAAAAATATTGTTCCTGTCTGCATAGTTATTGGGATTGCCAGGAGAGAACTCCTTGTTGCTTCTTGTAGCAGAACAAGGAGTCCCTTAATTGCTACTAGCTGTTGGAAGTTGCTTAAGTTCTTGATAAGGACTCTGTTGTCCTACTGCTTGCATAAATTACTTAAAAGTCTGAGGGGAGGAGGAAAGCTGATTGTCTTTGAGGCTGTTGTCAGCTTCTAGGAGCCTCTGATTGGCCACTGTGAGAAATAGGATGCTCCCTGGGTGGACTTTGGGTCTTGATGTTCTTTTTTAACTCAATGAAACAATTCAAGGTTGCCCGTGGAGCCAGAATTATAGGGGCTGAAGTGATCAGAATAGAATTCTTTAGAATAGAATAGAATTCTTGATTGGCCAAGTGTGATTGGATACACAAGGAATTTGTCTTTGGTGTATATGCTCTCTGTACATAAGGAGAATAAAATACATTCATCAAGAATAAAAAGATACAACACTTAGTGATAGTCAAGGTTACTAATAAGCTATCAAATCGTACTGGGAAACAAAAACAATATAAATTGAAAGAGACAAGCAACATGGTTATAGTAATAAGTGGGAAGAGATAGATACTAGTAATAGTAAGGAAGAGAAGAATAATAGTAATACAGTCTTAGTAAATAATTTGACAGTGTCGTGGGAATTAGTTGTTAAGCAGAGTGATGGCATTTGGGAAAAAACTGTTCTTGTGTCTAGTGTGTTCTGGTGTGCACTGCCCTATAGCGTCGTTTTGAGGGTAGAAGTTGAAACAATTCATGTTCAGGATGTGAACAGTCTGTAGATATTTTCACGACCCTCTTTGTGACTCATGTAAGTTGAAGGTGATGTGGCAAATAAGCCACCCTACCAGGATTACTGCTAATTAAAGCAACTTTAATTCCTACCTGTGACAAGTCTTCTCTGCGTTTTATGATCACGGGTGGCATTCGAACTTGTCTCCATGCCTACATTTTTGCTTTAAAGATTAAATTTCTGTAGTCATAATGATGCTGCAAGCTGTAGAGGCTCAGATGATTTCCTGTCTTGTCCAGGTTGACAGTTTTGATTGGACTACTATTTCAGGAATGCAAAAGTGAAAGTAAAGTGTGAAATGTCATGCTGGAAAAGGGAAGAACAGGAATGATATTTGTGTTGATTTTATAACCGAAGTCATGGCAATCTAAGGAAATCCACAGTTATGATTATTAAGTATAAGTGGCTAAGATTGATAGGTGTAGTTGAACTAGTGGTTTAGGCACCAACTTAAAAGCGAGAGACTACAAGTTCTGATCACGCTTTAGCCGTGAAAGCCAGTTGGGTGGCCTTAGGCCAGTTGTTATCTCTCAATTGAACTCATCCAGAGGGTTGTTGCTGTGGGGAAAATAGGAGCAGGAACGTGTGTTGGATATGTTTGCTGTTTTGGGTAAAAATAATAAAGGCTGGATACAAATAAAATAAATAATCCAGATCTCCCAGTTAATTGGAGGAATTATATTGTCCATCATTTAAATGCTAGCACTTGATTTTATGTGTGGGAATTTCCATTGCTGTATGGAAACCTGATTGCATTCTGTTTCTTTCCATGAGATAAGTGATATAATCTCACCATTTTCCTTCATTAATTCAAAACCTTTCAAAAATTACTTGTCTTTTTCTTGTTTTCAGCAGCTAATGTTTCTCTGGTCTATTGTAATAGTAGCAAAACAGCAACCATTCTATGTCTAGAGCCAGCAATCCACCAAATTTTAAAACTTTCTGCCTGGCCACCTATAATTGGAAATTCTGAATTAGGATTATCTTTGCTCTAGATAAGGGTTTTAAGTCTTTCTCCCTTTTGTCACGAAAATTGGTCCTCAGAAGTACTGATTGCCTGGATTAGGGGAAACACATGTATACATAAAAAGATACTTCAAGGGAATAGTTTTCACTAGAAAATTGGGGAAAATGAAAAAGGTTAATCTTCTCTCCTTGTACCAGGATCTTCATCCAGATTACTTTTAAAGGGAACAGAAAAGCAGGCATGCATTTTACAATCCTTTTTGCTAAAGAGATGCCCAAAGCAGATCTTTCATGTCTATAAATTTTCCCCCAAGGCCTTTGTTGTGGTTTGAGGAAAAAAAGAATATTCAGTACCAGATAGCCCACTTCTAAACTATTATGGAAGGAAAATAAGGAACAGAGTTTATTGGATTTTCCCAGAGAAAATCAATGGTTTTTTTAAATTTCTAATTCAAAATTAGTACCCTGATCATTGATCTCTCTCCTTTTGGCCAGTGAGAATTGAAACACACACAAGATTCAGGAGACATCTTTAGCAAAAAACATAGGATTCTATATTGCTTCTTATTTTCTCCCTTCATGCCAGTGAAAATGTATTTTTTTTTAGCATATAGTACAATCCCCTTAGTAACCCTGTGAGTTAATTGATGTGAAATTCTATGAGAGAGACGGTGTGTGAACAACAGATAGCAACAGGGATCAGGAATGTGTGAAATCACATTTAGGAGTTCCCAGACAAATTAATGGATTTTCCATTCACATGGAAGGTGTTAATGTAATTGCTGTAAATGGACAGGTGAATTTTAGTGGGAAGAAAACGCTAGAAACAAAATACTACCAGGGAGGTCAAATAAAAGTGAAGGCGTGGTCTTTCTAAATTACAGAGTTTAGAATACAAGCACAGCATTGAATGTACAGTAAAACTGTTGAGCCCAAGTTATGCCTCCAAGGAAGTCCCAGTATGCACAAGGATTTGGGACTTCATAATATAGCCCAGAATTTCAAAATTCTGATGTTCAGATATTCAGCCTCATCCTGAATCTTACTGGTTATGAAAGTTGACATCTTTTCTTTTGAGAGGCAGTGTCTTTAACTTTGGCCTGGCTTATGGAAATGTAGAAATTCTAAAAAGCATCTTTGACAGAAGAAAAAGTAGGCACTCCTGTTTAGGTGGTATAGTTTCTTAAAGTTGGTGCAGGAAATAAGTTGTGTTTATCGCTTCAGATATGTGATTCGAAGAGAGCCTTGTCTGAATTCTAAAGTGAATTCAATTCTGATTTTGCATTATGACAATCCTGTGTATTACCAATAAATCTTATCTGCAACAGTAGCCTTCCTCTTCTAATTACATTAAAAACATGTTGAAAAACGTGCATTCTACGTGGCTACGTTGACTGGGAAGGTGCCTGATTGAGGATGGTAATCTATGGCTATTACATGGATTACAATAGTTAAAGAGTTGAACTTGGTGTGAGAAGACCCAGAATTGTGTCCCTTATCACTCATGGAATTAACTGGAAGGGAAAATTATGGCTATGTGGATAAAATGAGGAGAGATCCTATAATATACTACATGAGTTTTCCAGAACTGGCATATTAAGCAGATACAAATAACAACAAAATACAAATTTGTAGAACAGAGTCTTTATAATTTAAGTCTCACTTATGAAAAAAGCATAGTTGCGCTAATACTAATGTCATCATCATATACTGGTGCCTTTATGAGACCACTCTGTAATGAAAGAACTAAGTCCATGATGAATATTCCCTCCAAAAATGGCTTGGGTAAATAAATTAAAATTTATGTAAGTACTGATCACGCACTAAATATAGCACAGAGTTGGTCAATGTAGTTTGATACCTGTTTCCTAGTGTAACCCCTTTTGGGGGAGGGGCTTGATTTCTCCTGATCTGATGAAGAATCCTGATTGAATGGAAACAATAAACCTATATCAATGTAATAGCGCTATTCATAAACATGGTTATCTTAGATTTTTTTGCTGTTTTTATTGATAGGTACTTTTTGTCTCTAGCAGTTTCTTTTCTAAAGAGATTATGAGATTTTAATAGCAAAAATGGGCTTGGCAAATACAACAGTTATAAGTTATAAGAGCCGTGGTGGTGTAGTGGTTAGAATGCAATATTGCAGCTAATTCTGCTGACTGCCAGGAGTTCGATCCTGAGCGGCTCAAGGTTGACTCAGTCTTCCATCCTTCTGAGGTCTGTAAAATGGGGAGCCAGAGTGTTGGGAGCAATATGTTGACTCTGTAAACCACTTAGAAAGGGCTGTAAAGCATTGTGAAGCAGTATATAAATCTAAGTGCTATTGCTATTGTGCCTTATTCATATCTGATGTTTTATTTCATGTACTGCTGGGTGTGCTATTATTTACAATAATTCACTTGACTTCTCTTTATGAAGATTAAACTGTTTGCCAACTTTTTTCAATAGAATATAAATATTTCAGATGAATAAATACAGTGATTGCACTCTCAAACTTAAATTGACTATTTGTGTTTTAAATTTAGTCAGCAGGAGAAATATTTTTTTTTCTTGTTAGCATTTGTATTTCAACAATTTCTTTGAACAAACTGGAGGAATAATTATTATTTATTTACAACAGTTATATCTTGCTGAGTCAAACTATATTCACAAAGCATCTTACAATTAAGATAAATAACATTTATTGTACTTTTATTAACAGTGGTATGTAATGATCATTCTAAAGTTGTGGCAAACCATCCATCAGGAAGGCAGAGCTGTCTTCTTTTGCAGTTATTGCCCAACCTATTCTCACTTGTCAGTTATGAAAGCTCTGCATAAGCTGTTTCTGAGATGCAGCTATCCAGTGTTCAGGTTTAATTCCCAAAAGGTGCTAGGAAAATAAACATAGCAGCTGTCCGTTACTCTTGAAAGCAGCTGCATCGTATCCTGGGCTCATGGGATAGCAACAAGAAAAGACACAGCTGCTTGGACTTGGAGAGATGACCTACATTCAAACTGCCATGTGCTCTGCAACATCTTTTTGGAATCAATTCCAAAGCTCTGGACAGTTCTGTTAACTTTCTGCGAAGATGAACTGAATTATAAACCCTGATGTAAACATCTCCTTTCTCATCATCTTTCCACAGTTTTTTGAAGTGTCACAGAGAATGCAACTTACAGTTATTGAATGGGGCCCTTCCTGCTTTTCGTTGTTGTGGTGAAAGTGTGGTCATCTTTTTGACAAGGATCAAAGGACAATGGAGTCCAACACCCTTGGAAAAGCTGCAACACTGGATGAACTATTAAATACCTGCATTAAAATGTTTGGTACAAATCTTAAATATATATTTTAACTCATCTAAACAATTTCCTCTTACCAGTAATTTATATATGCTGTGTATTAACCCTACTTGTTGCCTATCATTGCATTCATAATGGCTTGGATTCATAATATTTGGACTAATTCATTTAGTATAATTATATTTTATCTTAATATTATTTTAATTCAGGGTTGTTAGTTTCAAAGTTGTTAGAACTTTCCCTGTAAACTGAAATTATGAATTATTTGAGGCTGGTCAAATTAAAACATTCCATTGTAATACTGACCAAAATTAAATTTAGTAGAAGGGTTTAATAAAATGCTGCTTGTGCATCGTATGTGAAAAACTGGTCCATATTTTGGTTGTCATGGGAAAAGGTTGTGGTAACAAAAAAGAATCGCTAAATTGGCTATTCTTGAAGTATACATGATATACTTCATCAACCAAGCACACTACGTAAAAACTATTGTATGTTCATCATAACTTCATAAAGTCAGTTTCTTATGCAGAGATTTGTATTGATATATCTAATTCATCAACCAGTTATAAGAAATAGTACATAAATAGGCTGGGATATAGGACAAAATGGCCATGGTGATGTAGGGCTTAAAATGCAGTACTGCAGGCAAACTCTACCCACAGCTTGGAGTTCAATCCTAATGGGGCTCAAGGTTGATGTACTCTTCCATCCTTCCAAAGTCAATAGAATGAGGACCCAGACTGTTGGGGAATATGCTGATGTTGTAAACCACCCAGAAAGTGCTGTAAAGCACTATGAGGTCGTATAGGGTTATTGCTATTGCCTCACTACCCTGTTTTCCCCAAAATAAGACATCCCCTGATAATAAGCCCAAATAGGCTTTTGAGTGCATGGCAATAAGGCCAAGCGCTTATTTCAGGGTTCAAAAAAATACAACACAGGGTCTTATTTTCGGGGAAATACGGTAGGACAATATCTGTAAAATAATTTTACCAACTTGATACTGTCTGACCATACATTGGAAAGAATGTTTAAGGAAATTGAAGTCCAATATATCTATCAGGTACTAGATTGGGGAAATGTATCCTACAGAACTGCCTGGTGTACCCACATTTTTACTCTAATACTGTATGCCAAATGAATGGATTTTTTTGATAAATTCATTTCATTTCACAACATAAAACTTTATTTTTATTTTGTTTTCATTTAGAAATATTTAGCAATATTTGTACAGGAATTTAACATTTGGATGCTTTTTTTCATTCAGTCTGAATATGTTCTGTTTTTGGTTTATCTGTTTTTTTACAGATGTCAAAGGGGAGCTGAATGGCAATAATTTGCCGAGAACTTTTCTTTTAATGCATCGATGGTATCTGTCATCCACAGAATTGGCAAATAAACTTCTCTCCCTATATCCTTTCTGAGAGTTATGTTGATGATTCTAAGAATCAGTTTATCTAAAATATTTTCAAAGTAGAATTTGATGATAGTGAAGCCATTTCACAAGCATAATTAAAATCTAAAAACAATTATTTTTATTTGGAGGAAGATAAATGAACTCTAATTGTACTTGTGGTTGCAGTCTTCCATTTTGCAGGCAGCTGGTATTTCAAGTCAACTATAAATTTCATTAAAAGCCCTTCAATATTATTGAAAAAAGAAAATAGCAATGATTAACTTTGTAGAACAGAGATGAAACAATTGCACATGGTATAAAACTTCATTTCTTCTGGAACTTCAGTGAACTTCTATAGGTGTTCCTATTTGTTGAAATAAAAAAGATTACTAAGCCATCATACACTGGTGCTAAACTGCTGCAGACTATTAACTATTGTAGATTTTTTGTTTTAAACAATGAATAACCTGAGATTGTGTCCAGTTTCATCAAAGTGATCATGGTGGAAAATTAAGCTGTCAAAAGCGCCATAACTTGTATAAGTTATGTATATCTTGTGAATTGCAAAATACATAGAAATATATTATCTTTGTATTGTATTGTAGTACTCTATCCCTATTTATATTGTATTACATTGAATATAGCTTTACGTTTCTATTATAATTGTAATTGTAATACAATTTGTATTTGTAATAATGTAATAAATACTTACATCCTGCCTTTCTAATATTGTGTGGGTATTATATTTAAGGAGAAAAGCATGAAAGAAATGTTAAGTATCAGATTCAATTACAATTAAACTATGCAACTGTAGTAGCTTAATCAAAATGCTCTGTTTAAGCAAATTAAAAAAACCAAAGAAAATTTTTTTAAAACCTCTTTAACTAATTTACATATAGAAATGCCAATGGAGGAAACTGCAGTGAAATCCGCTTAAAAATCTGTTACTTTATGAGGTAAATGAAATTTTAAATTTAACTAGAAATGTACTTTTACAGTTTTCAAGGCTTAAGGGAAGGAATCCTCCTATTTAAATTGAAACTATTGGTGGAGCTAAACTAAGTGCAAAGTGATTCCAAATAGCCATGATGGAAGGCTCCAGAATCAAATCCCCTCATACTTCTATTTAATAAGCAATTGCCACTAGGCTTGGAAAGACATACTTCCATATCTCTTGAAGCCCCATTGCCAGTCAGAGGGTGTGATTAGACAACTAGCGTCCTTGTTTGCATAAACCTCTAGAGCAGTGATAGCAAACCTTTTGGGCTCAGTGTGTCAAAAATTCAGAAAATACCCACCTTGATTCTGGTGACATGTCATTCATTTCCCACCCCCCACCCCCTGGACAAAAGAGAAATGAAGAGCAATAAATTATCTAAATGTATTATTAATAGATAAATACTTACATAATTGTAAATATTTTTCAAAATGCTTATCTAAGGCAATTCTAGATTGCATAAAGCCTGGATACTTTGGAGAATGCTCTTGCATGGCCTTGCAACCCTCCAAAAAGAGCAGAAAATCACATCATGTTCTTGTATGTAGAGATCTCAGAGGCTCCATGAGAGCAGGGCCCTCTCACGTGACTTCCAGAGGGTCCAGAGGCCTGGTGTGTCAGTAAAAAATGTCAAGGCATGTCACCTGTGACACAACTGCCATAGGTTCACTGCTCTAGGATAATTAAATAGTGTCCCAGAGTTGATAAGAAGAGAGTAGAACTTATTTGCAAGGGAATCCTTTTTGGTTTTTATAGAAGAATTATTGTGTATGGGTGTTGTTTCGCTGTTAGAATAAATGTCTAAAGCTAAATATTTAATATTCATGGAGCTGCTGTTCATGGAGTAGAAAACATTCAATGGTTGAGAGACCACTTAGTAATCCAATGGGACCCATGCACAGACAATATACCCAGTTGAGATAATTGATGAAAAGTATGGTCTTCTCTGGTTGTGAATTCTGCTAATATATAGCGTAAGAAATCCATGGGCAGATAATATGACTAATTCTTGTCTTAACAATTTCAGGTACTGGATTTTGGAATTTCCTGCAGAATTTAATCTGGATCTTGGTTTGGTTCATCTGACTGAGGAGTTTCAAGAATTAGCTTGCCATCTAGGTTATGAAGAACATATACACCTTATTGACATTTCTAGCATGTAAGGATTATCACCTGTGAGGTACCATTATTAAACTAGGATTCTCAACAGCATTATAAAGAAGCAAAAATGAATCAGTGTGACATATTTGAAATGTCCTGTTTTATTATATGCTATATAAAGGGTTTTAATAATCTTCACATCAAATGCTAACTACCAAACTCATAATGTCAGTCATGTCAAACTATTAGTAATGATGAAGAATTATATAATAGCTGCCTCTTTAGATAACTGGAAAGAGAGTGTATTTCTTATTGTTGTCAATCTATATAACATAAAATATTTTGTTTGGAACGTTTTATATATATATAAAATTTTCTGGAAATATAGATCCTGATTATAAAGTAATCTGGCTAGCTTTCTATAGTCATTCTCAAAGTCCTGAAAAGAAACAAAAGGGCACCTTTCCGGCAACATGTCCCTAGATGTGCAGAAGGCATTGAGGTATAACCTCAAAATGTGAGGTTCACATTTCCCAGTCAAACATTTTTTTTAAATTTCTCAAGTATCTAAGGTATTCTTAATTAGATCGTGACTCTGCTGTCAAATGTTGATATCCACAGTTCCAAATCCTAAGTACTAACTATATTCAACTATACTGACAGCCTCTCAATGTAATTTCCCCCCATTTAATTTTTGTACATATTGTTAATGTTGACCCAATATGATAGACTGCTCTATAAAGATTTCAAAATTGATAGTATTTTGAGGTAGCACACACTAGATCAATATAATTATCTCACATTCCAGCCTGATTTCACAGTCTTGAAAAAATGTTTCTGGAAAAAGTTGAAAAATATGTAAGGAAATCATCTAGCCCGATAAGAGTAAGTTGAGCCTTCTCTAAGATGATATTCTTTCAATGCTTTGGATATTAACTTCCATCATTCCAAACCAGCATGCCTGAGGTTAATTTTCTGTGATTGTGGGTTGTGGAATTGTTTTGAGTTATCCTGGTAAGAAAGAAAGGAAAAACCAATCAAATCTAATAACAGTGAACAGAGGGACTTTCCCATTCCAGAACTAAAAGCAATTTAAGTAATTGCTTCTGGAAACAGAAAACAGGACTTTTACATTAATGGTTTATTCTTGTATTTCCTAGAAGCATTTGGCTGGGTGGCCATTGCTGGATCTGATGTACTTTTGCTTTGATCCACAGACTTCTGCTTATACGCTTATGCAGGAAGTCCTCAATTTACTATCACAACTCAGCCCAAAATTTCTGTTACTAAGTGAAACTTTTGTTAACTGAATTTTGCCCCATTTTACAACCTTTTTGCCAGAGTTGTTAAGTGAATCACTGCAGTTCTTAAGTTAGTAAGATGGTTGTTAAATAAATCTGGTTTCCCCATTGACTTTGCTTGTTGGAAGGTTGCAGAAGCTGATCATATGATCCCAAGGCACTGCAAATGTCATAAATATGAATCAGTTGCCAAGCATCTGAATTTTGATCATGTGGCCACGGGGATGCTGCAATGGTCGTAAGTGTGAAAAATAGTCATAAGTCATTTTTTCAGTGCCATTGTAAGTTCGAACGGTCACTAAATGAACTGTTGTAAGTTGAGGACTACCTGTACCTGTCTCAGCACACTGACTAAGAGCAACTCTCTCACTCTCCTTATAGTATATGAAGATTTTAAAGTCTTCTATCTGACTTTACATCAAAAAAGAAAATGGAAGCCTTCTTCTTTATATGCCTTGACAATGGCCATTGTTTTCTTCTGGGGCATCAGATCAGGCCAGGCTCTACATTCTTTCTTTCTTTTTTAACAGACCCTCTTATGATTGGATGAGAAGAATCACACAAAGGAAAAAAACATCCAAGAAAGGAAAAGCTTGTCTATTGTTTGATCACCTGGAACCCGTTGAATTAGCAGAACATCTCACTTTTTTGGAGTATAAGTCTTTCCGAAGGATCTCTGTAAGAATTTTACAATTTCTTATATTACTTTGAATTCATGGCCAAAAGTGCCTATAACTGTGAATCTGACCTTATGATGAAGGTTCCATTAAATGTTATATAAAGTCCCAATAACAGTAGCAATAGCACTTAGACTTATATACCGCTTCACAGTGCTTTACAACCCTCTCTAAGCGTTTTACAGAGCCAGCATTTGGCCCCAACAATTTGTGCCCACATTTTACCCACCTCAGAAGGATGGAAGGCTGAGTCAACTTTGAGCCTGGTGAGATTTGAACTGCTAAATTGCAGTCAGCCGGCAGTCAGCAGAAGTAGCCTGCAATATTTCACTCTTAACTACTGTGCCACGGCAGCTCATGCATGCATGCATTCTCTCTACCTATTGACTCTAGCATCAAGAGATAATTTGTTTATTGCATGTATGAAGTATCAGTGATAAATTATTAACCAAATCAAACAGAATCAAACAGAATGGGTGGGATGCATTGAATTATGGGTGTGGGCACGTGTGAGAGAGACCCCCCGCGCTCCCCCCTCTTTTGGCACGCAATGGCAAAAAGGTTAGCCATCACTGGAGTAGGGCTTTTGTAGCAAATGTAGGAATTCTTGGATTTGCTTTCCCAGCAAATCTGGAGGGCACCATCTTGGGGATGGATTAACATGATTTGAGATAACCACATGAGAGTGAAGCTCCTTCCTTTGACTAGTTTACAGATTATCAGAGCTATGTGATCCATGGTTGCCTGGAGAACAATCCAACTCTGGAAAGATCAATTGCTTTATTTAATGGCATCTCAAAGTGGGTCCAATTGATGGTGCTGAGCAAACCAACTCCTCAACAAAGAGCAGAAGTTATCACAAAATTCATCAATGTTGCACAGGTAATTTTATGCTGTTGGAGCCTGATTTAATCCTGTGGAATAAAATTGAATGAAATGCAGGTTAAAAAAGAGTCTGTGAATTTAATGTTTTAAACTGTTTCATATTTAATTTATTCTCTTAGGGGAGAAATCCCTAACACTTGGAGGCTGCTGGGCATATATATGGAATTTCAAAAACATGTTGTAGGCACTGTCAAAAAATGGTTGCTAGGCAGGATTTACCCCATTGCAAAATGTCAGACTTATAAGGTTTTCAGAAAGCTATTTGACATCCTTCTAGGCTCGTATCCAATAGGATATTCCCTTTATCTCTACTTATTTTTATTCTTTTGAGGGAGATTGGCAAATTTCCAAGCAAAACACTGGGCAACCACTGCCTATCATTTTCTAGAGGATAAAGTCGTATACTGTTGCTTTGCTTTGTGGCATGCCAGCTTCCCTAAAAATAATACTAAAAGTAAGAGCAGAAAAACATTGTTGGATGCCATTGGGAAAAATCGATAAAAAGTAGAGCATACGTTTAAGTTCTGGTTTTGATGATCCTCACTATGTTACCCACTGGTAAAAAAAAAGACTATATAAAATGAGGGTGAATCATTTTTCAGAAATGTGCTGAGTGTACTTTTATCATACAAGTTACTTCCCTCACTGCAGGCCGACCATATCATGTTCCAAAATGAGAAAGGATAGAATCTGAGGATCTATTTGAAATCTTTTTGATGATGGGAGTTTCCTCTAGATCAGAGGTATCAAACTGGTGGCCCGTGGGCCTGATGCGCCACATGCAGGCCACACTCACCCCAGTTCCGTGAAGGAAAAAAAAAGTTGTGATACATCACGTGATGGCAACATGACATGGCAAGTTTGACACCCGTGCGCTAGATCATCCTCTTGCAATTCCCTTTTGATTGATTAATGGATGGCCCTGCTAATAGACCTTTCATGTTCCACAAATGTCACAAGCAGAATGTCACAAGAGCATGGGATGTAAATCATTGTGCCTATCAATCAGGTTCCAAATGAAAAGTGTAAAGACATAAAAAAAAAACACCCTAACTTTCTAATAAATTGTGCACCCCATGCTCTGCAACAAAGGTACAAAACAGTTATTTCTACACTTGTGTTCAATATCAGGACACAAGTACCAAAAGGTGAAGAGTGCATCGAGATGTTGCCACATACATTTCTTCATTACTTCTTTTTTTCATCACTGTGGTTTATAACCAAATTCCTATGAATGTCAGCCCTCGGGTCACCAGGGTTGCCATTCTCCCGGGGACCTTGCTTCCACGCTGCGTCAGAAGCCTCCAGCTGGAAGGCGCGGCTTCGTCTGGAGGCACTAAGGGAACGATATGTGTAATGGGAATATATGTAAATGACATTGATTCATTGTGAAACAGTTGATCAGTAGATCTATATCTAACTTTATTTCTCTCTATAAAAAGTTACAATCATGGACTTAACTCTTGAAATAAATAAATTCCAAACAATATTTAAGCTTGTAATGGAATTTTTCCTTCTTTTTTAATCATTAACTTTGTTCAAAAATAATTTTATTTTATGGATTTATTGACAGCTCTATCAATCCTCAAATTTCAAATATAAACTCCTGAATCCCATTTTAACACATAACTTTTGATGTTTGGTTGTGAAATAACACTCCTCAGTCACAATCCCATCGGTCTAAATTACGATAAAATTGTGTGATTTCACTATCTGGAGATAGTTTATTTGGATTCTTCTCTTCTGAAATCATACATTTGGTCTAGGTCAGGGTTTCCCAATGTTGGGTATTTTAATACTTGTCAGGGAATTCTGAGAATTGAAGTCCACACATCTTCAACTGAAGTTCCCAAGTTTGGTTTAGATGAATAATGAACAATATAACCTTTTAACAAAAATGTTCAAATTTCTCCACAGAAACTTCTTCAGCTTCAAAATTTCAATACACTGATGGCTGTTGTAGGAGGCCTAAGTCACAGTTCTATTTCACGTCTGAAAGAAACTCATTCTTATCTTTCTTCAGAAGTTACCAAGGTATGAGAGTAAACTCACATTTCATTTCTACATAGAGAAAAATTTACCACTGAATTTTTAAATATCATATACTTTTTTCCACTGAAGTAAGGGAGATTGAAAGTATGGATGTTTCTTATCCTGAATCATATGAATCAACCATTGGTCCATCTGATTTAATTACTGACAGCATATTACCATGATCACAGGGGAGGTCTTTTAAAAAAATTCTAAAGTTTTCTAAACTTGGATTTTTGGAAAGCAGTTTATATATTCACACACAGAACTATGACTCTTTGTCAAATATATGCAGAAATCAATCATCTGGTTTATTTTTGCAATTGGATAATGATTCCCTTTACAAAAAAGTTAGATTTCTAGTCCTCCAGTGTAATTTTTCTAAGTTCCCTCTTAATCAAAGCAAAACCAAGAATGTTCTTGCTGAGTCTTGCTTCTTCTTGGCCTTCTTTGTAGGATTGGGATGAAATGACTGAACTGGTCTCTTCCAATGGAAACTACTGCAACTACCGCAAAACATTTGCAGACTGTATCAACTTCAAAATCCCCATTTTAGGAGTCCACTTGAAGGATCTAATAGCAGTTCATGTAGTTTTTCCAGACTGGATCAATGAGGACAAAGTCAACCTTGTGAAAATGCAGCAGCTTTCAGTCACTTTGAGTGAGCTGGTAGCTCTGCAGACAGCATCCCACCATCTTGAGCCAAATATGGATTTAATTAATCTACTGACGGTAAGATTAATATGCCTTGTGTGGTGCTATTTGAGGAGTGTTCAAAAATTTCTGCTGATATACGGTGGAGCTACTCATAATATTTTGGTAGTATGGATACATAACACAATACTGTACTGTAAATCTGGGTTGATCATATAATAACAACAATAATAATAGTCTTTACTGTCATTGTACATCATGTATACAATGAAATTGGTTTGTGTATTTTTTAGCCCAATTTAATAACTCGTAATCAAATTTAAGCTTTAAAAAGTGTAGCCAGACTTTGCTTTAAGGACTTCCTTCATCTATATTCAAAACAGTCTCAGAGGTCCTATCCAGAGATCTACTATCAAAATCAAATAGACTGATAGTCATTATAAACTGGACCTTCTCAATTATGAAGTTCCCTTTTAACTGCTTTATGTGTAGACTTTCAAACAAGTATTTTTAAAAACCATTTTCTCAGCAGCTTTTTTCTAATAAGGTTTTGGTGGTGTTGATCTGAAATGCCTCTGAAAGATCTTTAGAAAATCTTTCTATTCTTTAGTTTGATTTGGTTATTGTTTGGTTTACATTGGAATTGTTTTATATGTTCACATATTTTTATGGAAGCTGTGTTGGGAAAGCTATACCTTGTTTTATTTTTTATGATGTCACATTAAACAACAGAAAAATATTGAGCTGAGAGATCACTCCAGATCACAATCTCTTATAAACGTGATTGGAACAATTGCATCTTGAAAAGATAATGTAATTGCCACTTTTTATTCTAATATGTTCAAAGATTAGAAGCGTGCTGTATCTCCTCTGAAACTTTGAATCACAGCTAGAATACAGAATACTGCTTTCCAGATCAAGAAAGAATCATAGAATCATATCGTTAGCAAAGTTTTTGTTATTGCAAGAGATTATAAAGAGAAGCTCTTTAAATTGAAACTCCCTGTGTCTAATATAAGGACACAAACTTGATCAGTCATGCTTCTACAGCAGCTTGTCATTGTTGCTATAACAAATGCTTCTTTCGTGAATAGTGAGTAATTTTTTTGAAAAAAATGTATTACGTATCAGGGTTCTATCTCTGTTTTCTCTTTAGAATGTTGGGGAGGGCCCAGGTAAACATTCACTTCTCAATTAATATAAATGTTATAAATGTTCCATTTTGGAGTATTGTACCTAGAAACCATAGGATCCTGAAGTCTTTTTAAGAAAATTGTTTTCCTTCAAGTTCTGATGATCAAAGATCAGTAAGCAAGTGATAAACATTAATTCTGTTTTGAACACTATGAAATACTAAACAGCCCCTAAACTGTTGAGTAGCCCTCGGTATTTTGTGCTAAAGCTGATTTAATTCAAATTAAGAACAGGGTCCTGTATTACATACTCCTTTTCAGTGTCATTCTGATTTTCTGTTGGGCATATTGTTGCACTTTAATGGATATTTTTTTCTTCACCGTAGGTTTAGCCAGAGTGAAATAACTATAACAAGTGTATTTAAGGGAAAGTAGAGTGAAAGAAAACTGCCAGCAGTTCCACTTACTACAGCAGTCTGAATTGCTGGCAATGATTCTTAATATTGTTGGGCTCTCTCCCAATTTTTAAATATAATTTATTATGTAATTGGATGAGAGCATCTTTCAGATTTTATTAAACTTTAACAAGAGCAGCTGTAATCACCTTTTTTTTTGCAACTTTATTTTAGTTTAAAAGATAAAAATAACCACACACACACACATGCATGCATATATACATGCTTATAGAAGCATGATTAAAAAAACAATCAAGATCCTTTATGAAAATAAAATAAAAATAGGATATTTAACATGTGCTTTTGTTAGAGACAGCCATCTGAGTTAGATGGAGGAATAATATTTGAAACAGGAGCTCTCTCCCTACAACCTGTTCCTCCAATGCTCCCTACCACACTGTTCAGTCCCTTCCTTCAATGTTTTTCCTGTGTCATTAAGAAGTGCCTTAGTAATGGGTGACCATGGCAGCCAATGTACAATTCACCTGCCCAGAGTGATTGATGAAGGGCAACTAGCAAGGCAATGCTGTGCTTTGGAGAGCTATACAGTTGAGATGCAATTAAATCAATTCCTGGGGTAGTGAAAGTAGGATGTTTGGTTCCAATTCACTGTCTATACCTGTCCAATGTTCAGCTGGGCTGTTTGGTTTCATTTGGTCTAATGGTAGAAGTAGTTGGGGTTCAGGATGCCATGCATAAAGGAAGGAGTCCCAGCTTGGAGGATTCGTTTAATCATTGGAGAGTTTGTTGACATCCAGACATTTTACCAGAGATGTCTCTGCCTTCTGGTCAGAGAAAACCTGTTGCTCTAATAATTTTTGAACAAGATGACTAAAATTAATTATACTTGACATCGTTAAACATTTTTCACTTACTTCTGGTAGCACCAATGGCCATTGCTAGCCTGGAATCGCTGCGGTGACATTTTTAAACAGAACACTTCATTTTTGTTCCATTCAGTTACTGGCCAGGCCTATAAAATTCAAAGAATTTGGGATTGCTAGATGAATTACTGCTGTATGAATCTGACAAACATTCAACATGATCAACAAGTCTTCTCCAAATCTATTCCCATTTGAAATTCAGAACGCAATGGAGGAAGGATCTTCTTGGCTATGGGTCTCCTATTTGTAGCTTCCTCCCCTGTTTTTTAGGTACCATTTTAAAACCTTTTCTATTTGAGTCATTTTATCTGCAGCACAATTATTTTTAAATCTTCTGGTGATAACAATGGCTTCCATGATTTTATGGAATTCTCTTTGAATGCTATTCATTTGTTATAATTTGATCATGTGCTACTGTAGACCTTTATCCTAGTAAATCTATTAAAGCTGCAATTGTTTAGCAGTAGGATTACTTCTCACTAAACCTGCTAAGGAAGCTACTGCAAATAAAAGGAAATAAGCAGGGTTAATTATTAGTATTCCACATGGTATTTAAGATTGCATAGACCCATCTGATAAATTGGTTATTTGTTTTATTGTTTATTTAAAAGATCTATATAGACATCCATCTTACAACATTGAATCTGGCAGGTGTACAAAGATTAAGCCATCATAACAATATAAAATGATGCCCCAGTTAAATAACCCCCAGAACAAAAATCATAGTATCCACAAAGCTGACTAAACTGCCTGCCCTAAAAGTATAAACAGGTCTTCAGAGTTTTATGCAGTGATGGGATTCAAGTAACTTAACAACCGGTTCTCTGTCCTAATGATTTCTTCCAACAACCAGTTTGCCAAACTGCTCAGAAAGTTAACAACTGGTTATCCCGAAGTTCCCAGTTCTCCAGAACTGGCTGAATCCCACCACTGCTTTTATGAAAGGCTAGCAGGGTTGGGACCCGCTGGATCTCAGTAGGTGCAGCTACAGAGAAGGCACAAGTCCCAGATCCATGATGGCATTATTGGATGGAGGGGTTCTGGAACATGGTCTCCCTGTTAGGCCTAGTGGGGCAGCAGAAAGAATGGAGGAAAGATGGTCCCAGAAATAGCCTGTCCCTCTGCCATGTAAAATAGAATAAAAGGTAACCAGTGGTGGAATTCAATTTTTTTACTACCAGTTCTGTGGATGTGGCTTGGTGGGCGTGACAGAGGAAGGATACTGCAAATTCTCCATTCCCACCCCACTCCAGGGGAAGGATATTGCAAAATCTCCATTCCCACCCCACTCTGGGGCCAGCCAGAGTGATATTTGCCAGTTCTTCGAACTACTCAAAATTTCCGCTACCGGTTTTCCAGAACCTGTCAGAACCTGCTGAATAGTACCCCTGATAGTAACCATCTGGAAACCTACTGGGAGCCAGTGCACTCATGAAGCTACATGTTCTATGAGAATATCAAGAGTGGTCAGAAAATTCAGATTGTCCAGAATGCTGTATGTGGGCACACACCAGTATTCTGGACCATCTGAAGCTTCAGGAAGCTCTTCAAGGTCAGCTCAATGTAGAGGGCATTGTTCTAATTTAAATGGGAGATGACTAAGATATGAATCACTATGAGCCAGGCTTCCAGTCCAGGAAAAGGTGCAACAGGTGTACTAGATGAACCTGTGTAAAAGCCCACCTGTGCGGCTGCCCCCTACTTTTGAATAAAATCTGTGAGACTAGGAAGACCATCCAAGTTGCACACTAATTCTGAATGGGGAAGTTTGTCCTCCTTCAAAACTAAAGATGGAAAATCTCTTGGACTGGGGGCCTTAAAACCTACAGCCACTCAGTTTTTCCAGAATTAAGTTGAAGCCTGTCCTTCCTCCATCCAGATCTCTACAAACAGTAGTGGTTGCAGTGGTTGTTAAATAAATCAGTTTTCACAAATGGGCATTTTTTTTTTTGCTGGAAAACAAAAGTAAACACCAGAAACTGGCAAAAAAGACCAAAAATCACAGTCATGTGAGCACAGGATGCTGCAAATGGCCATAAATGTGAACCGGTTGCCAAGCACCCAACGCAGGGGAGGGTTGGCAGCCATCAGAACTTCAAAAACAGGTTGTAAGTTGCTCTGGGGAGGTTGTTGTAACTTTTAGCCGCTAAGCGACTAGTTGTTAAACAAGGACTACCTGTTCTATGTTGCTGCTTTTTTTTTTTTTCAGGTTCATCCTTTATTTTCCTTACTTATTCTCTGTTCCTTTCCTACTGTCAAATATTGCAGTCGAGAATATAAACTCTGGTACCAAATTAAAACTTGCATGTTTTTTAAATATATACCAGTATATACACTGCTCAAAAAAATAAAGGGAACACAAGCAGAAGACATCCGAGATCTGAATGAATGAAATAGCCTTATTAAATACTGTGTTCATTACATACAGTAGTTTTGTGTTCCCTTTAGTTGTTTGAGCAGTATATATTCATACCAAATGAACAGTATTTTATTTATGACTTTGCCAATTCTCAGTTAAAGGTGTTCAATTTGCTATCAATGACAGAAAGACCAGAAGGAACAAATTGCTTTTAGAGTTGTCTTACTATGTCTCACTCTTAATTAACCTGGTCTGAAAATATGCAAATGCCTGGAAAGCCCCAGGTTTTTTTTACAGTTGAATGAATGTGTGTGAACTACAATCTTTTAGAAAATTTCAGATTGAAACTAACTCAGGAAATCTGTTTTTAAAGATGAATTTTAAAATTAGGTGAGAGGTGAATTTGCTATAATCATAGATTTTACAGCAGGGGCCTTCTGGATCTTGTTTATTTTTTGCTTATCAAATTTTTATCCTGCCTTTATTACTTTATAATAATGTAAAGTTCTACTCACTATGATGGTTGGTGAAAGTTGTAGCTGTACGGCTGTACATTCCTTATCTTGTTCAGTAGGTTCATTTTGTGATTTTGCACCAGATATGAAAGGCTGAAGGCTTCTTATCCTGCTCTAGGGCTCAAGTACATCTAAATTTATCCAGTCTGGATGAAAATCATTGAAACCATCTATATAATTATATCAGTTATTCTGTCTGTTTGTCTGATTTCTTTCTTCATCTCAAGAGTATCTGGTATTTTGGTCAGAGTCAGAGGATTAAAGGCCCCAAGTGTTATTTTATTATGTGGAATTGTTTACATGTTTCTGAGCAGAAACCATATATACCCCACTAGTTTATCAGACTCCAGGTCAGAGGTGAAATCTGTCCGGATCTATCCAGATCGCACAAATCGGTAGCACCAGTAGCTCCGCCTACCCACCAGGACGTCATTACGTCCTGTTTTTGACCCTCTGTGCATGCTCCCATTCCCAAACCAGTAGCGAAGGTAAGTAGATTTTACTGCTGCTCCAGGTCCTTTCTGACATTTACAATTTCCAATATGTATTTCCTTAGTTTCTTTCTTTAGTTGTTTAGGATAATTATGTACCATTGATTTTCTATTGAAAAATCAATAGATTTTTACAGCAGTGCGAGACATCTATGGTCCTTCAAATCTGGCCTCCCTGATTTGTTCATTAATGTCCTGTTAGAATACAGAACGGTAGCCACCATGGCTGCCACTGAACATATTTCCCTCTTCAAGGCTTTTGGGGAGGGTGGCATTGGGGAAATAAATGAAAGAAGTAGAAGAAAACATATGAAGATTACAAACAGAAAATGGGGTTACCTAAATCCTTTGTAAATTCTCTAAGGAGACAAGGTATTCCTTACCTAATAAATAAATCCTTTACCCTGAAGTCAGCAGAGATGAAACTTGGTACAGGAAAAAATAAATGACATACAGTTATTCCTGAAAGTAAACATCTAAAGAAAGAAAAAAGGAAGGCATATTGATGCAGTAAATGTCACAAAACATAAATCCAATAAATTAGCAGGCTGTACTTCCTGCCCAGAGATAGAGAAACAACCACACCTAATAAGCTGACATTTGGGGGGCTTCTTTCCTTCCCCCCCAATCAAAATGCCAAGGATAATCTTCAGATTAGAAAAAAAATTAGGGAGGCATGAAGAGGAGTAATTGCTGTACAGGTAGTCTCAGCTTGCGACAGCAATTGGGACCAGAGTTGCCATTGCCAAGCAATGTGGTTGTAAAGCAAGACATCATATGACCATGTCTTTAGCAACAGCAATTCCAGCAATCTTGGATGTTGTCGTTAAGAGAAGACTATAGGAGTCATTAAGCAAAGACTTGCATGATTAAGACTTCTGATTTCCTACTAGCTTCCCCATTGACTTCGCTTGCAGGAGGCTGACAGGGAAAGCTTGTTTATATGACTACTGAGATTGGCCAACAAAGCAGCTTTTGTTTTGATAACAACACCCTCATCCCCTGCAAAAGTGAAAAAGCCTGACATGGGGTATCATGTGATTATGACACTATCAACCATTAAGTTGAAATCACACACACACACACACACACACCAGTTTCTGCACAAAACAACTCCTAGTTTCTTGTCATGCTTCCCTTCTGGAGTATTCATGTACATCAAATTTACAAATATACTTTGCAGATTTATATTTGCATGGGAGAAGGGGTTTCATGCATTGAATGACAGCAAATGGGTCATGGATGGAAAGCGATGAACTGCTCCAACTGCTTCTTTTAAGAGTGATGTTCCTATAACTCAGTGATGGCTAACCTTTTTGCCATTGTGTGCCAGGAGCGGGGGGCTCGCACGCACGCGTGCCCACACCCATAATTCTATGCACCCTGCACCCCGCGCATGCATGCGCGACCCCCCCCCCCACGCTCCCCACGCTCCTGGCACGTGATTTCTCTCTCCCCAGGCTCCAGAGCCTTTCTAGGAGTCTGGGGAGGGCAAAAACAGCCTCCACCCCCCCCCCCGGAGGCCCTCCAGAGGCCTGAAACAGGAGGCCTTTTTCCCTATTTCTGGTGGGCCCAGAAGACCCGAAAATCAGCTGGCTGGCACGTGCATGCGCACTAGAGCTGAGCTCGCGTGCCCACCGATATGGCTACATGTGCCATGTGTGCCATAGGTTCGCCATCATGGATATAACTGAAACAACTATTAAAGTTTATTGTGACATTTATGTCTTTTTTCCCAAATGTATTAGGTTAGTTGTAGTAATTAATATATGCTATGTTTATTTTTATTTAAACTTTCAGCTTTCACTGGATCTCTACCACACAGAAGATGATATTTATAAGCTTTCACTGGTGCTAGAACCTAGAACATCTAAATCAGTAAGTTTGGTGATTTTTTTTTCTGGTGTAAGAATAAATACCCTGTTTCCCCCAAAATAAGAACTCCCCTGATAATAAGCCCAATCGGGCTTTTGAGCGCATGGCAATAAGGCCAAGCGCTTATTTCAGGGTTCAAAAAAATATAAGACAGTGTCTTATTTTCAGGGAAACATGGTATAAAGTTACAGTATTGAAGCAGTGATTCATAATCTACTTTTTTGTGTTAATATTCATTGATTTCTCCATTTTAAGAATCATACTTTGCTTTTCCTTGATAAAAATGTGAAAGTGTGCTCTTACCTTTCCTTTCAACAATCATTTCTGGATTGTGAGATCCCATGACTGAAAGACACAGCAATTTACTTTAGAGTAAACCCAGTTAAGTGACCCCACACATTTACATAGTTTGTGACCTATCAAAAGCAGCCTACACTGGTAGCATATAAATTTTTATTTGTTTCACCCTGTTTCTACCTCAGACAGCTTTATGATTGGTGTGAACATGAAATGACTAAATAAGAAAAAGTGACTACTGACATTTCTTCTTTCTAGCTGTAAAAAGCCTGGGAGCTCAGCCAAATAAAGTGTCATATTCAGATAAAATACTGGCCAATGTACTGTATAGGATTTCCAAATTAGAGTTTTATTGTTCGATCAACATGCCTTATTCAAGGAATTTTACAAGAAGACAAGTTGACCATATACTGTATTTCATCCATGACTTTCCTTTCATTATAGAATCTAGACTCTGTTAGTACATAGCCTAAATCAAGAGGTTTGCATGATAATCTCACAGATGCTAAAATTTTAAGGCCCAATTGGGGCCTAACCCTAACCCTAACCCAATTGTATTTGCAATGCAGCAGTTTGGATTTAGTTTCAAAAAGGTGCTTCTCTAAGGCAGAAGTATGATTTTAATATCATATTTAATATTTAATATTTACAGCTAAATTTTTCTGGAATTGTGCTCTGGAGCATCTTTAGCACACCTCTAGTAATTTAAAAGTGACCTTCCCACTTTCTCGTCTATTGGCTTTGCCATTCGGTTGGCAGAAGACAAATCAATTACACATTGCAGCAAAATCATACATCGGAGAGGATTCAGTTTTTCCCCCAGTGCTGAAATAATTCTTTTGATGAAGTTCTGCTAAACATCCTTCTCCAACTCAAAGTGGGGAAAGATAACCTTTCTCACATCCCTTCTACCCTGCTGCTACCTTTCGTCATTGTTCCAAAAAGTTTCCAGTTCTACTGGAGCATTGGAAATGAGACATAAGAGGAGATAGTAGGGAGGTGACAATCAACAAAGTTACCAGGTTGTCCACTTCATCAGCAAGATTCTTCTATTTCTTATGATGGGAGGAGCCCTTCCAGCTATGGATGGAAAATTCTGGGATTTCCCCCTGGATGATATTATTGTAATTAAGGCAGTGACAAATGGACTTAAGCTCATTATGAACAACTTGCTGTTATGGGTTCCTGTTAAAACCAACAGTAACTAGGCTATCCCCATACAGCCATATCCTACTATTTTACTTTTATTTTTTCATTCTACTTTTGAAAAAAATTTAGAAGCTCAGTATGCTTCATCTATTGGATTAAATCTAGATTGCTAATTCTAAGAGATCTAAACAACAGAAATTCAGTTCATTTCATTAATTCTGTAGAGCAAGGATTCTCCCAATCTTCCCACATTTGCTTTACATTTTAGAGATTGTTGCTGTTACATCTCAGAAATGTAATTTCTTATGACACATCTTAATAAAAAAGATGCTTTATAAAAGCATTATAAACATGATGTTACTTTTTCAGGATATAAAAGGCTGTCATAAGAAAGAAGATATGGAATTTTCAGGGTAATAAAATCTAGAAACAGAAATAATAGATACAAGTAGCAGATGCTTTGATTTCATTTAATTGTAAAGAAAAACTCCCTGACACTGGACTCCGTACAACGGTGGAACTGGCTACCTGCAGATATTATGAGTTCTCTACCCCTGGAGATTTTCAAGAGGCTGGATACCCCCTTAAGGATGTCTATGGAGATTCTCAGTCATCCAGGTCATGGTTATCCCAAAGATGCTTTTTTTCAAGAGGCAACTAGACTTTCTAGTTTTTCTTTAAAGATGTTTCACTTCTCATCCAAGAAGCGTCTTCAGTTCTGGAGCACCTTTGGGACTCCTTAATTGGCTTTACTGTGCATTACAGAAGATTAAATAGGATGATCCTTGTGGCGCACAATTTTAGAGACTGAATAGGAAAGAACTATTATGCAAAATTTGGTTGTTTAATTTGTAACTTTGGCTTGTGTGTGTGTCTCTCTCTCTGTACTTTTTTTTTTTTTTTTTTAAACCAACTCTTCAGAAATCTTCCAGAAAATAAGTTGCTCCTATACTTCATTCATACTGAAAATTTTAAAAAATGCTTCTCTGTTTTCTTTCACCACAGCCTACCTCTCCAACAACCCCTACTAAGCCAGGAGTACCCCTGGAGTGGGCATCTGGTGTAATACCAAAGCCTGACCCAAGTGTTATTAATAAACATATCCAAAAGCTAGTTGATGTGAGTATTGACAGGAGAATTCCAATTTATTTTCCTATCTTCTCACCTATCTCATGAATGTTCTGTATTCTCTAATTCACCTCACCATATTCAATGGTTTTTAATTGACTATAATTGTATTTGTGGTGTAAAATAAAATTTTACTTTTGTAGAACACTTACTTAAATTTAAAAAAATGTTAGGATATGCACAAATAAGTAGGGCCTTCAGTAGAGTTTCCAAATCTGAAATCTCACATACAAAACCAGAGTTTCTATCATTACACATGATGCGTGTGTGCACGTGCACACACGCATATGCACATATGCACCTTCAAATCAGGGTTGACTATTGGCGATTCCCTGGACAAGTCCCTGCAGTATTCTTGGCAAGATCTCAGAAGTGCTTTGCTATTATTTCCTTCCTAACTGAAACAAAGTGACTGGCCCAAGATGGCTTCATGCCTAAGAGAACTAAAACTCACAGTCACCTGTTGTCTAGCCTGATGCCTTTAACTATTGCACCAAACTGGCTCTTAAATATTATAGAGGCACACAATTTGCCTGCTGAAGCATATGTGGCATTTGGTTTATGCATCTGTCAAGCTCCTGCCCCACTAATTAACAACAATGGAATTCAGAATGAGCTTCTGAAATAGAAGACTGACTATTCCAACTTTGGCTGTTTTACCTTAGGTGACAAAACAATTGCATGTAGCTTATCTATGTAGCATTGTAGCATAGCCTAACCAAAGTTAAGTTTTGTTTAGTGCCTAAAGAGCGCAGTGTTGAATCTAGACAGGTTTTTCCTGGGAAATGACTTTCACAGATTCCAGACCATCCCGAGAAAGCTCTGCTCCTGGAAGACCCCTGCCAAATTTCAGTTTCAAAGGCATCAGATTAGGAATTTGATGTTGAACTGGGAACAGGTTGCACAGATGAGCCTACTGGGAAAAAGGCTGGATGAATTTGCCTCATATTAGAATGAGTTTACCTAATATTTATTTATTTATTTATTTATTTATTTATTTATTTAAATTTTTATACCGCCCCCTCTCCCGAAGGACTCGGGGCGGTGAACAGCCAAGATTAAGAAACATCCGATACAAACATTAAAATGCATTTAAAACAAAATTAAGTGGCTTTCCCCAATTTAAAACCCCATTACCCATAAACCTCATTACCCATAAAATTCACCAATAAAAATTCTAAGCCAGCCCAGCTTGCCGAAATAAAAATGTTTTCAGAGCCTGGCAATAGGTTCGGAGGTCTGGGATCAGTCGTATCCCTGGGGGTAGCTCATTCCAGAGGGCGGAATTGCCCCATAATTAATTAATCCTCCCTCAGTCTTGTTCTTTAATAATTTAATTGTTTTATTTGGTTTTTATATTTTATTTTAATAGTTGGTTGTATTATATGCCGCCATGGTCACCTTGTATGAGATGAGAGGCCATGTAAATTTAATAAATAAACTCTTAACTGCATTAATACCTATAACCAAGCTTTTATTTTAGGATGCACCCCTCTGTTGTCTATAATCATTTGACATTTTCTTCTCTTTTTCTTATTTCCTTGCATCTTCAGTCTGTTTTTAAGAATTATGACCATGATCATGATGGCTATATTTCACAAGAAGACTTTGAAAGTATAGCGGCAAATTTTCCTTTTCTGGACTCATTCTGTGTATTAGACAAAGATCAGTAAGTATCCTTCTCTTGGTATTATTTTCAATGCAACCCCATTTGGGTTTAAAGGGAATGACATTTTTGAGTCTTCCCTCTCCCCACCCCCTGCTGGCTCAGCTTCTGGCTTTCTAAGGGTTGATGGAGTTTATACTTTCTTCCTCCAAGATGCTGTTTTTCTGTCCCATTGTAACTTTCACCTTTGGTATTTCCTGGTAATCTCCTTTCCAACTACTAACCTGCTATGCCTAGCTTAGCTTTCTTGGAACTCAGCCAAGCCAACTAGGCCCTGCCACTTACATCAGTAGTGGATTCCACTTACCTTCGCTACTGGTTCAGAACTGGGAGCGCATGTGTGCTCGCTGTGCTTGTGCATGGTGCTCCTGCACATGTGCAGAGCATCCATGATGATGTCCGGGCAGTTGGGCGGAGCCTTCTGCTGCCGCCACTACCAGTTTGCCTGAACTGGAGCAAACCGATAGAAACCCACCACTGACTTACAGGCACATTTATCAAATGTAAGTCCTAATTTTCTCAATCAGGCATATTCTGAGTTACATGTGTACAGATTTACAATCTTAATTTCTGAATATATTTTTTAAAAACTGCGTTCATTTCATGAAGGAAGGCAAATGTACATGTCCCAGGTTAATGATGCAGGATACACATTCTAGTAGAGAGATGTTCCCTGAGGATGGGCTCCCACATAAATCCAAAAGCTTGGAAGACTAAACCTCTAATCCTGGTGACCAACCCAGATTGAATCCTGCAGCGTTCATTTTTTAAAAATTATCTCCAGCATTTCTATAATGATCAAGATTGGTACCAGTCTTTGTCTTTCTCAGTCATCATCTCAATACTCCAAGGGGCAGATGACTTATACAGGCAGTCCTCAACTTATGATCACAACTGAGACCAGAATTTCTGTTGCTAAGTAAAGTAATTGTTACGTGACTTGTGCCTAACATTATCACCTTTTTTGCCACAGTTGTTAATAACTGCAGTTATTAAATGAATTGCACTGTCATTAAGCAAATCCAGCTTCCCTCATCAACTTGGCTTATCAGAAGCTGGCTTGGATGGTTGCAAATGGGGACCACATGACCCCATGGTAAATACATGCTGGATGCCAAGCACCCAAATTCTAACCACATGGCCGTAGGGATTCTTCAATGGTCATAAGCGCGAGGATTGGTCATGTCACTTTTTTTCAGTGCCACTATAATTTTGAACCATTGCTAAATGAATGGATATAAGTCAAGGACTACCTGTAGTCCTATTTTGCATTACAGTACCTTTTCTTAGACCATTTAATACAAATGGATGAATGAATCACAGTCTGAATCCTGAATCCGCTAGCTCCCAAGGAAAATTTATGGACAAGTAATTCATGGTCAGCATTACTCATATCGACTTGTTTGGGGGGAAAATATGTGAAAGGTGTGATCCAAAGCTCTGCCAGCAGGAATGTTCCTGTGCAAATTTCTACTTGGAACATTTTTTTTCTTGGCCAAAACAGTATCAGAAGGTTTTGAAATCATATCTGTTGAAGTACCACCTTTCAGAAATTGGAGAAATTAACCCCTTGGGAAGAGAGCCAGAATTCTGTTGTTTTCCGTAGCATGGTGACAATTGATTTCCCCTTCCCTTCCTGACTTTTCTTTTTTTTACAGAGATGGTCTTATCAGCAAAGGAGAAATGATGGCATATTTTCTAAGGGCTAAATCACAGCTACAGTGTAAAATGGGACCAGGTTTTATACATAACTTCCAAGAGATGACCTATCTTAAGCCAACCTTCTGTGAACATTGTGCTGGATTTGTAAGTATACAATGTTGGAATGGGGAGATTAAGATGAGTTAAGGGATAAATAATAGTACCGTCATACTTGAGCCTGACCTATTTCAAAAATTATGTTCAACACACACACACACACACTGCACCAACATAATATGAAAGAGTGGACCAGGTTTTTGTTGTCTGAGTGTGTCTCCATGTAGTTTTATGGGTGGTTAAATTGGTTTTAACTTCACTCATTCATCTGTGTTTCCACTATTGCTGTTTTCCATTTTTCTGACTGAATCAGAATCAGAATCAGAATAGAGCTGGAAGGGATCATGGAGATCTTATAGTACTTCTAGACCAGGGGTGTCAAACTCACTTCATCACAGCAGCATCACATGATGTAGTGGGACTTTCCCCGCCCCCCTTCACTAAACAGGGCAGGGGTGTGGCCAGTACGTAACGCATCCGGCCCATGGGCTGGGAGTTTGACAGCCCTGCTCTAGACTGTAATAAGAGGAAAGGAGAAGGAAGTCTCATCAATTTGAGTGTGCCTCTTTCCAGATAAATCAGTACAGGATTGCAGCCTTGTTGGGTGTATATGTGTCTATTTTCACTATTATTGCAGTGTAGCAAAACCAAACTCTATGGTGCCTCAAAATCTCTGAAAATAGGTTTGGCAGAAATGCAGAAACAGACTCTGATGAAGAGCCTTCTGCTGATTCACAGGGAAAACATTTGTGTGATCTGTTGGATCAGTTCTGTGCTGGTTCATTTGCAGGCAATGGAATGTGTGGGCAAAGTCTCACAGTTGAATGGATAGTTCTTTCTAACAGGAAGGGTGTTGAGTGGAGTAATTTCCTGTTTGTGCTTTTGTAGCCATTGTTACTTCGTTCATAAGGAGGTTGTGTTCCTTCCGGCTTTCTTTTTTATTTTCTTTTGTCTTTAATTACAGCTCTGGGGTATAATCAAGCAAGGCTACAAATGCAAAGGTACTGTAAATCATGCATGGCCATTTGCTAGAGTGCTTTTCTTTTTCTTTTCTTTTTTTAATATTCAGCCTTTTGATTGCTGGCAAAATGCCATTCAATACATTTTGGCATTCAGGTTAATCTGAATAAATGCCATTCCTATGCATGCTTACTCCTCTGCTACGCTCCCGAATTACAGCCTTGTCCAATTTTTATGCTGCAACCATATAACCTTTAACTAGTAGTCCTCTTCTGATCACTAGTTCTTTGGGAGAAGCAGAAAAATGGAGCCTGACTGCCTCTTGGCAATTTTCCATGCAATTTTCCATGCATTCACCCATAAATCTTATTAAGAAATTAAAGCATAATCCTTTCTGCTCAGCTTTAGAGTCCATGCAGAATACTTCCTGACTTAATTTTCCCTACATATATAAATAGTATGCTGCTTCCCTTAACAGCAGCCTGCAGTTGAGACTAATAATGCTTGAATACATTACATCTGGCAGTAGAAAGGAGCCATGACTGACAGAAATAGCTGGTAGTCAGGATTGGGAAAATGCATTTTAGAGGGGAAATAGCATGCAGGGTGTCACATGGTCTAATAGTTGAGGCAGTCAAAATACTGAGAGGATAGACTACCTATGTTGGTCTGCTATTTTTACAGGTTCCTCTTACTAACATTTAATGGCATTAACCTCCCATTAAATTAACTGGGATTCAAATATGCTTTACTTTTAACTGCCTAGCAATGCCGTCTATTTTCCTTATATTTTTATACTGAAAATGAACTGATCTTATCCAATTGAGAAAGTGGTCAGTTGAAAGTAATTAATATTCTCAGACAGATGGGAATGTGAGAAAGAGAGATTTTAAAGTAAGGAATAAATCTATGTGTAGAACTCTTGGGGGGGGTTGTTTTGTTTTTTTGTAGAAAAAATACTTTAGGACTGAAGAGGTAGTAGATATATGAGTTTTTAATCTTTTTTTTTCCAGTTTCCAGTTTCTTCTTCGGTCCATATTACATGCTGCCCAAGTACCTCCCCATGAGATTCCAAACATACTTTCTCCATAGCAATATTTGTACCATTTTGGCAATCTATTCAAGCTGCATTATAAGTGCCAAAAAGTTGGAAAGAGCAAATATGTCTGCCATTATTTCATAGGCATAGGAATATGCCCAATACCCCTTTCAACGTCACACTGCATGTTCTGTTGCCATGCACATAGTATCAGTTATCCAGGATATTTACTTCTGAAAATGTTTTACAAATGCAAATTTTATGCTGGCCTACCTCATTTTGGAAATAGCAGTTTACCAAAACTAACTATTTTTTTTATTCCTTTGCTGGTGATTTACTCCAGATTGTGGTGCCAACTGCCATAAACAGTGCAGAGATCTGCTCGTTCTAGCTTGTAGGAAATTTGCCAGGGGGACTTCACTGAACAGTGGTCACGGTTCTTTGCCCAATAGTCCATCACTGCCTGCAGGTAAGAGATGACACCATGTCTCGTGGCTGATTGTTTAACCCATGCTTTTCATGTCCTAACAGTATTTGAAATGAGTGTCTTGAATGCACTAATTATCATCCTTATGAAATAAAGAGTTTTTGTTATGATTTGAGATGACCCTATTATTTAGCTTGCACAGTTGCTTAAAAAAGCCTGAAATTATTTTAATGGGGTACCCTCCCAATGAGATTCACAGCGCTCAATCTGCATAGTTGACGATTCCAATTCTCCCACTACTGGCTAGGGATACATCACTATACCAGAGCACTCATCTATACTTGGCACCAACTCAAAAGTCTCTTAGAGATTGCATATAAGTTTCATCATCACTGTCCCATTACATATAGAACTCTTGCTGTAAATATAAGAGGATCTGTGTAGTTGCTGCTTGCAAGAGGATATGTGTAGTTGCTGCTTGCTGCTTGAAATGAGGCCCAGTATCTGAAACAAAGAATTCGATTTTTGTTTAGGGTCAATTATGCCACAACAGTAATTGACTATTTTTGTTTCTTATGTTCACCTAAATAATTTCCAACGTAGTTATATAGCTCTATCAAAACCTGTACATATTACTAGCGGTGTTCCCCAAGGCAGTGTCTTAGGTCCAACACTCTTCATACTTTATATAAATGACCTTATATACAAATTAGATGGAGATGACCTTGTAGATGACCCTCACTCTGTCAAGGACCTTGGAATACTCATTTCTAAAGATCTAAGTGCCCGAGCCCACTGTAACAACATTGCCAAAAAAGCATTAAGAGTTGTTAACCTAATCTTGCATAGCTTCTTCTCTGGTAATGTTGTACTACTAACTAGAGCATACAAAACATTTGCTAGACCAATTCTTGAATACTGGTCTGGAACCCGCACTGCATATTGGACATAAATACAATCGAGAGACTCCAGAGATATTTTACGAGAAGAGTCCTCCATTCCTCTAACCGCAATAAAATACCTTATGCCACCAGACTCCAAATTTTGGGCTTAGACAACTTAGAACTACGCTGACTTCAGTCTGACCTAAGCATAGTACATAAAATTATCTGTCACAATGTCCTTCCTGTCAATGACTACTTCAGCTTCAACCACAACAATACACAAGCAAATAATAGATACAAACTCAAGGTAAACCGTTCCAAACTCGATAGCAGAAAATATGACTTCAGTAACAGAGTGGTCAATGCCTGGAATGCACTACCTGACTCTGTAGTTTCTTCCCCAAACCCTGAAAACTTTAACCTTAAACTGTCTACTGTTGACCTCACCCCATTCCGAAGAGGTCTGTAAGGGGCATGCATAAGTGCACCATCGTGCCTACCGTCCCTGTCCTAATATTCCTTTTTACTCTTTTCATGTATTCAAATTACGTTTATACTTTTACCTATTATCTTATATATGCTTGACAAATAAACTTATGATTATTATGATGATTATATGATGTGTGAAGAGATCTTTTTTGGAAAGGTCAAAGAAATAAAAAGAAATAAAAAGAAAAAGAAAGAAATTAAAAAAAGAAAAAAAAATGTTTCACTTCTCATTCAGAACTGAAGAAGCTTCTTGGATGAGAAGTAAAATGTTTTCAAGGAAGAAAAAAAAAAAAAAACCAAGGAAGTTCAGTTCCCACTCTTTCCTCTTTCAGGAAACTTTATCTGCATGGATGCCCAGAAAGATAGCTTATAAATACTTAAAGAAAACTAAAAGGATATGTTGAAGATAATTTCATATTAAGTCTTTTATAGACTTGGATTTAGATTATGTGATTTTATCAATGTGGAAAATAAGTTAGAAAAAGTATGAAATACAAATCTACTTGTGCAACTTTGCTTTAGTTAGGAAATAAATGTGATCTTCCAATTTAAGGAAAAGAACAAAAAATAGCAAAACATTTAATGGGTTTGAAAAAACAGGGGGAAGGGAGGTGTTTCGCTATAAGATAGATGCCGATGTGCATCTGCTCGCTATCTAGATTGATAGTGCAAATCATGGTTGAACATAAGACATTTAATGCTATTGACTGCATTGACCTATTTATGGTTTTGAAAGAAATATATTGTTTGTAAAATTATTAACTGAGATTAGCTGGTGTTCGAGGTTTGAAACTTGGAGGTTTCTTGATTTATGTATCAAATGTCACACATTTAATTATTGGTTATTGTAGGTCAGCCTTCCCCAAGTCTATGCTTTATACTCTAGGAGCATTTATTGTAGGTTTTGTCATATTGAGAGTTGTGACCTCACACTTCTAGAATAAACAAGATAGCGGAAGTAATTAAAACTTTTATGATTTACCAGTATGATGGACAGAACTAAAATAGTGTTTAATTCTATCAAAATTGTGGGATGTGAAATGTGTATGTATTCTGTAAAGAAAAATTGTGTGAATTACACGCGTGGTATAGACGGTACTTTCCAGTGCTGAAAGAAGATTTCAAATTAGAGGTGTTTTCATTTTTCTAGCTGAAACTAATTTGCTGAAACTATCTAGCCAGCATTTGTTCCATATTTGTACTTTACATTGACTTAATTGATTTGCACTTTGCTATATTGCAGTACAAGATGAAGTATTTAAATTCCCCACTGTAAGCCCACGAAATCAGGATCTTGATAGCAGAGCAATCACGCTTGTAACCGGCTGCTCTCAGAAGATTTCAGTACATCTCCGGCGGGTAACCACTAGTCAAGCAACTCAGACAGAACCACTGTGGAATGAACCAGGTTGGGGTGATTCAGGATCACACACTTTCCCCAAAATGAAATCCAGGTTCCATGGTAAATCTGGAAAGAATAAAGGTTTTGCAAAATGGGAGAATGAAAAGTCTAACATTCCAGTCAACAGGGACACAACAGTGCGTGTGATGGATCAAAATGGAACAGAAACTCTCCTAGAAAGACAGGAAGTCAAGGTTTGTACTATGAAATTCTTAGGGGTTTAAAGCCCTGTTCTTTCTTTCTCAATATACTATCAATTTTAACATGCTGTTTTTGCAACTGTAAACTACAGGGCAAATTATGCCTTGTTGGTGACAAATTATGCCTTGTTGGTAGGCATGGCATATGCATCAGTGCAGCATAAAAATGTAATAACTAAATAAGTGAAATAGTCACCAACAAAGACTACTGCATATCTTCAGGAACTTTTTCCCATTAGCTGAAGTAATGTGTTTATGGAATTACATGTTTACTGTATATATCCTCCCTATTATGACAATGTATTTGAGATTGGCCACTATGTTACATATGCTGTGCAGAAATTTTATCTTTAGAACTCAATACTTGAGATAAAAATGATCAGTTTGAAGATTATCTAATGTGGTAATGTCAGTCTACGTGAGGAGGTGATGCTTGAGCCTGTCTTTTAAAAAGGGGCGGTGTGTGTCCCTTTCTCACAAAGTCACTGCTGGACTCAACAGTCCAGAACAATTTTCATCCACTTTCCAACCATCTCTTTGTAGAAAAGATTGTTGAATACTGTAGGCCAGGGGTGTCAAACTCAATTTCATTGATCGATTTTATCAGGGTTGTGTTTGACCTTGGAGGACTGAGTGGGCGTGGCTGGGGTGGGCGTGACCAGGGGACATGGCCAACTTGACATCCTGGAGCCCTTTGCTGCATGGCCCTCCTGTGCTCCGTTTTCAGCTGCAACAACCTCCTGCAGCCCTTTGCCAGTGAAAATGTAGCTGGGGAGGGCTGCACGTGGCCCTCCTGAGCTCCGTTTTCACTGGGAGAAGCACCGCAGGTCGGTCCTTCGCTGTTTCCAGGGTGGCCCCACTGGCCAGATCTAAGCACCCCTTGAGTTTGACACCCCTGCTGTAGGCAGTCAGGCTGGGGCTTCACATGATTCTGGAGGGATCAGATTATCTAAACGCTTCTCAACCACTTTTTATACTGGGGCAGATTAGTGAGATAGCAATGGTGATAATTGTTGATGATCACTAATGGAGCCAAGAGGGTATAATTAATACTTAATACCGCCTGTGGGAACTGACAGTAGGTACCATATTGTGGTAGTTTTTTGTCTCTGGTTGATTGCTATGGTGTTGGTAGGAGGGGAAAGTTTGTGCCTAAAGCTCCCGAAATGTGGGATGCCACAGGGCTCAACATTCTTACCCCACCTGCTTTAACATTAAAATGAGGCCACTGAAAATGTATGGGTATGTTTCATTATTTTGTCCAAATATTTTTATTTCTATTATATTGTTTTCACGCTGTTTTCAGTGTCATATGCTGCCCAGAACCATTATGGAGTTAAGCAGCCTTATAAATTGTACAGAAATAAATGGTACAATAGAAGCTACCTAATGCAGTTTACCATTTCAGACTGAATGGCTGCATGTGTTAAAAGCTTACCGCTGACAGAAAATCAGCATGCCAAGGTGAATAGATAAGCCATATTCTTATCCACAGCAGCAAATAAATATTAATATACAATATAGGCAGATTAAAGCACAGAATTCCTGCTTGTTGAACTGATAGAATTCAGCCTAGTGATCCTATTGATTTTGTGTCTGCCCTCCTGAAATATGTATATCAATCTCCTCTAAACAAAACACTGAGAATTGTTTCCTTTGATTTATTACAGGCTTGTTGATCTGCTGCAGAAAATCTGCTGTCAGAAGATAGTTCAAGAAAAGTGTGATATTTTATAAATCGCCTGGATATGGCTGAACTTCAAACCAATGTTACATTCATCAGATTTTATCATTGGTGACAGTTGCTTAATGACAAGAGTACACTATTTATTTTCTCACACAAGTAATTTGATCAATCTTGCACTGATGGAGAAGAAAGGAACATTATAACTGCAGAACATCCGCAATTCTGTTGCCAGCATCAGAATCCTGGCTCTGGATCTATCACTACTAAAACTATCACTACCAAAATCATATGGGCTTATAGACGTGTCAGTTACCAAAATTCCTGGATCCAAATTTTGTCAACCTTCCACATTCTGAGGCATCCCCCATCAACAACTGAAAACTGATTTTCTATCTGGAACTAAGAGCTCAGATTCCCCAGTGGCTGCATTCACATATTAAGAGTCATTAGGTCAAGGGTTTTCTTTAAAAAGTATTATTTCTCAACACAAATATGAAGCTATCTAAATTTTTATATTCAGTTTGTGATAATCCACAATGTGTGCTTCCTACTTAATTCACAGAACTGGATGAAATCAGATTATATACTTTGGCACACAAAGATTGTGGAATTCAGGTGGTGTAATTTAGCCTAGCTTTCTTCAATCTTAATATCTGCCAAGTGCAGTTCACAATTCCCATCGTCCCCAGCATGGCTAAGAGCCAACTACACCTGGAAAGCACCAAGCTAAAGAAGTCTGAAAGAAGAATAAAAGTTGGTCTTTCACTGTTTCCTAGAATGATGTAAACATGTATTACATTTAATTTCATGGTTGTTGGAGCGGTTTTGTTGGTTTTTACACCTTTTAGCAAACTGGAAATAAACACTGGATTTTATAAATAGCAAATGCTTTATGATATACAGAACATTGGATGAAAGTCAGAGTCGATAAAATTAGTATTCTTACCTAGAGATTCAGTAACATTCTTATGTCTCATCTTGCTCAGTGCTGTAACTTTCAAAGAAGCTAGCTGCAATCATGCATCTGCTTGAAACATTCATTATCCTGTAGGTTAACTTCTAAGTCGCACAGAATCTTCCCACAATAGTATTATTCTGTGATATGGCTACAAAGGTATTTATTTGTCTTCTGAAATCATAAAATTGTTGCCTTGACAATATGGAAATCTGCCTATTTAAATCCAAATAACGAGTGATTTCAGTTCATAACTTATTCTATGTTGCAAGATATAAAGGAACCCTATTTCTCTGTAATATCTGGCACTACTTCAACCAAATTGCCAGAAAAAAGGCTTTAATTTGTAAACCGAGGTGCTGGCCTTAAAATCATCCATAAGATTTATCCATTTTTAAAAATTCAACATTTTTGCATTATTTGCAAGCAACTACAGTATAGTATTCTGGTGCTTACTCTATTGAGATTTTAAAATTAGATGTTTTGTACCTTCTGATTATTTTAGCTATTTCTGACGGGGGAAAGGAGACTAACTTTTGTGCTCAGACAACTAGTTTTCAACTTCATTTTTTAACCATCTCTTGGCCGACAGATTATCATACATCGTTTAGATAGGCATATAAATATTTTTTTTTCTTGGAAATTATACCATCCTTGGAGGAAAAAACCCATTTATTGCAGGCAGAATAAGTACCTTTTCCTACAAATCAGTGAGTTATTTTGGATCCAGATAAGAGCCTATATGTATTACTACATAATTCACACCGGGGTGGGGTGGGGGGTGGGTAGGAATAGAAGCATATAAAATGATCAGTTCTGCTTAAGGAGAAGTCTTTTTATATGTGTATCTATCTCTCTCTCCTACCAGTCAGGTACCAATTAACATTCACTTTCCATATCTTTGGAAATTCCCTACGGGACAAAAAAAATGTACAATTGCTAAATTTTGTTGCCCTTGTGCCAAGGAGTTCCTCAATTACTGTTATCTTATTTTAACATATGTTAACAAATTATATTGGACCTAAAATATTGGGCGTTCTGTTGGCTAGACCAGGAAGTCAAAGAAAGCCCTCAATAGAGCCTTTCCATGATGTTATCAAGAAAGTGCAGTCAATGACAGAAAAGCTCAACACAGGGCCTTTTTTTTTGAGCCTGCTTATTTTAGTACAGGTAGTCCTCGAATTACAAGTTCATTTAGTGACCGTTCAAAGTTACAACAGCACTGATAAAAGTGACTTATGACCGGTTTCCACACTTGCAACCTTTGCAGCATCCCCATGGTCATGTGATCAAAATTCAGAGGCTTTGCAAGTGACTCATGTTTATGATAGTTGCAGTGTCCCGGGGGGGTCATATGATCCCATTTTGCGACCTTCTGACAGGCAAATTCAATGGGTAAACCAGGTTCACTTAACAACCATGTTACTAATTTAGCTGCAGTGATCCACTTAACAACAAAGGCAAGAAATGTTGTAAAAGGAGGCAAAACTCACTTAACAAATGTCTCACTTAACAATAGAAACTTTGGGTTCAATTGTTGTAAATCGAGGACTACCTGAACATACAAAACGAAGAATTGAAAAACTGCTTAAAGATCAATTGAGCTCCATAATTTTTGCATAACTTTTGTTACTTTCACATAGCAGATTTTTTTCCGTCAAGATTTCATGCCATCATAGTTCCTATATAGACTGAAATATCTTACACAGGCATTGCCCACCTGTGCTAGCTGTTCTGTAATTCTTATTATGTTGACATATTGGTCAACATGCACAATACAATGTACAAGCTGTTAATTTACTGTTATAATTTCTTATGTTTTTGATTCACCTAATATGTTTATACATCTGTAGAAACAGTGTCCTCACCCATCTTAAGTGGTAGTAATTTTCAGGAAATTCAGCAAAGATTTCCAAGATACTGAAATACTTGAAATGTTATTTGCACTATTGGCACCATGCACAGAAGCCTTTTTTTTAAAAAAAAAAAAATGTTGCCACAAAAATTTAGACATATATGCAGGACTTTCTACGTGTGATATGGAACACCATCCTCTAATCCAGTGATTAAAGAATTAGATATTTTTTTAGTTGTGAATCAGGAGCAGCACCTAGTGGAGATTTTTAAAACTGTGAACTATTTTATGCTGCAAATACCAGAGCTTTTAGGAACTATTTTACTGGGCTATAAATATCTTATTTTCAGAATCTAGTGACCAGAATTCTCAATACAGTTTTAGCACATTGACTTCAAAACCGGCCTATTTGGTAACTGTGAAGTGGAACAATTGGGCTTGATGAATCAAAGAATGCAATACAAACCTGGATGAAAAATTAGTTGGTGCCCCTGTAAAATGAACCAATATACTTAAGAATGGGTTAAGTGTGTTTCTTCTGCCATTTCCATTCCCACAGCTTTCTAAAATTGCTCTGCCAGAAGTAATTTAGTATCAATAATAGAGCACAATCAGTTACTGCTGGATGAGAACACTTCTCATCTTCTTCCACATTTTCTTCCCATCTCCAGTTCTGTTTACTGCAGAACTCTCTCCACCAATCCAATTCTTTTTTACAGTCTTAAGATGCTTCTTCCACCTCACGCTAAAGAAACAAAGCAATTTATTTCTGTAATGTTAAGGACCAATAAACCAAAGGGAGAACAGATATTTTTTTTTTATTGCTCACCTTTTACAAGAGCACACCTTCAGCCATTTTCTTTCACAGCTTGACAATATTTCTATTTGCAAATAAACCCAAAAAATAAAGGCAAGGCGCACTAATGCAACTTTTAGTGAAGAAAAATGTAACAAACTGAGCAGAAGGGCATTTCAACTCGAGTTAGATGACAAAACGAAACCATTCTGCGTTTCAGGTCGAGTGGTTTTAATTAGTGCATAAAAAATGGTTCCAGGCTGCCATTACTGCTAGCTAGTTTCAAGTAAAAGTTAGGCTGATCAGGGGACCAACTGGTTTGTAATCGATGAGAGCAAGGTGGGCGTATGGGGAAGCATGGGGCTATTTCTAGTCTCTCTTTACAACTTAGCTTGACTAACTATGATTTTGCATGGCATGAGTGTCAGGACATTTGATTTGACATGTGTCAGAGCAATAAGGCTACTTGAACAAGTTACCAGCAGTAGAGCTCATATAATAAATCCAGGACCTAGCAAAGAAGGCTGCAATTCTTTGCATAGTTAAAATGCTTAAATCCATCTGACTTAACTGGACTTATGCACAGCTAACTACACAGATGTGCAGCGTTACAGTATAGACCTGAAGTCAGCAATCCAATATGGTATATAAATAAGAGAAGGATTTACATGGGAAAAACAAGTCCATGTAAAAAGATAGGCATCCTGGTTCTCATATTACTTGCATGAACACCCCATGCGTTCTGAATCTCCATTTTACTAAGATATAGAACCTCGGCTGCTGTATTAAAGTTCTGAGTCCTGGAGAAGAAAACTGCATTTAGACTTGGGCAGTGTATCCATATTTTCATGGTATGCACAAATAGTTTGAAAGGTCAGCCTGACATGTCGACTGATATTAAGTCAAAAAGAAAAAATAAGCAGACTACTATTACATGAGCTCTGCCAATTGAGAAACTTTTATAGCCTCAACTTGTGAAGTGTCTTCCTTGTCCAAATCCAGATTGATTGTACTGATATCCCCCTTGCTGGAAATGCTGCTCAAACTGACCCCCCTGATTAATGTTCTGTGCACCTCTTCCTCCCCAGCCACCTCCTTGCCCTCGGTTGCCACGGCCTCCGCGGCCACCTCGCCCTCCTCCACGACCTCCACCTCGATCACCGGTGTGCCCATCTTGGTATCTGTTGTCTTGTTGATAGGTGCCACTTCCACCTTGATATCCACTTCCTGAATATGATTGGTAACCACCATATCCTCCTCCTTGGTAGCCACCTCCACTGCCGCCACCATGGTAGCCACCAGTTTGAAAGCTGGAATCTCTGTAATTATTATCCCTATAGAGATCTTGATAGCCACTTCCTCCACCATCGGTCCAGCCACCTTGAGGTTTGCCTCCTCTTCCTCCCCCTCTGCCACCATGGTCATAGCCACCACGTCCACGGCCTCGTTCATGACCCCCATGTTCATGACTTCCTCGGTTTCCATATGATGAGTCATACCCTCCTCGACTTCCTCTTTCATAACTTCCTTGGTCATATCCTCCTCGGCCTCCTCGGTCATGACTCCCTTGGTCATAGCCTCCACGTCCTCCATATGATGACTCATAGCCACCTCTTCCACCTCTGCCCCCACCACTTTGCTGTTGAGGACCATCTTGCCTTTTCTGCCATGGTGGCATTTCAGGTGGAGGTGGCTCGATTTCATTGGGTCTCCCACCTCGGTCAGGCACTCGGCCCATAAGCACCTAAAAGGAAACAAAACCAATATGGCGGAAAAGTAAATGCAAAAGTATGCCAATATATCATTTTCTTTTAAAAAAAAAAATCTATGTAAATTTGAGTCCACGTAAGGGGGAAAAAGAGCCTTGATAGTATAGTGGTCTAAGCACCCTGTTATTAACACAGCTGCCTGCAATTACTGCTGGTTCGAATCTCTCCAAGGCTCAAGGTTGACTCAGCCTTTCATCCTTTCTAAGGTAGGTAAATTGAGGACCCAGTTTGTGGGGGCAATAAGCTGACTTTGTATAAATATACAAAAGTATGAAGGCTATTGCTTAACACATTGTAAGCCGCCCTGAGTCTCCGGAGAAGGGCGGCATATAAATCAAATTTAAAAAAAAAAAAAAACATAAAACATTGCAATGAAAAATACAAACTGATGATTTAGTAAGGGAAAAGAAGCTTCCAAAGAGAAAGATTATAAGCATGTGGAAAATATTCTATAGCCAAACTGTTCCAAGCACAGACTAGCCAGTTGAGTATATTATGCTTCAATTAAAGGGCAGTAAGTTAAAGGGGAGACAAAGGGAAGGATATCCTGGGAATATCATCAGGTATGGTAGGATACAGGCATGCAGAAGAGGAGAGGAAATATCCCCCAGTCTTGCCTATTCATTCTATAAGCACCCGGTAATATCCTTCCAGATTTTGTCTTGGCTGAAAACCAAAACATTCCAATTTTAGTTTGACCAGATTGTGACTCTCTTCAAACAATTCAACCAAATTGTCAAACCACTGTGTGGTTTGTTCTTGCACAGAACAGTAATTAATTTTGGGAAAATTTAGGATTTAAAGAATATCATAATCACAATCATGAATTTACAATACAGCTCAATTCAACCAGTGTTATTTTGTTATGCAAAGCTCTAAGTCTAAAACTCTAAATAGTATTACATATGTTTTTAATCTCTGAAGAAAAAAATAACCTTAAACTGATCGATATAGTACAAAAATAGACTGGGCTATGTATACAGATTCCAAAGGTATCAAATAAGTCCTTCAGTGGAACGAACCTGGCATTCACTCCTTTCTAATGTCAGATGTAATCTACAGTATCTGTTACAGATTATTTACTGCAAGCATTTTTACATCCCTGAGTACATCTGTAATCAAGCATTACATTATTTTTTTATGAACTAGCTTGCTAGCTAGTACATCAGTACAAGTATGACTATGTTACCATTTTGCTTACAAACTCAAACCTTGCTTTTACAAGCAAGTATAAAAACATAAACCAATTGCCATTAAAGACCGATCATTTCCAGCTCAGAGAAGTCAGCTCTGATGTGATAACCCCATAAATCCTAGAGGAGGGAGGGAGGGAGGAAGGATTTTGGCAAAAGAAACTAGGAAAATGATGGAAGCTCAATGTTCATATATGCACAGAAAACAATGAAATTTTGCACGAGTACAATTTTTCCCCAATGCAATTCCTTAACAAACACAGATATGTACAATTAAAAAAAAAATCATCTGAACAACACAGGTACCTTATTAATGGCACATGCAGTCTTTTCTCTGATAGAGCCACTGCTAGTCCTCATTATCTTTGATAAATCCTGCCGAGCTGCCAAGAGGTGTGCAACAGATATAGCACATTTAGCAGACAAGATGGCACGCTTTGGCTGATAGACTTTAGCCAATTTCTCTGCTTGGCTCTATTACACAGAGAGAGGGGGGGGAGAAGTGAAGAGAGTCAATTGTATGAAATATTCAGTTAAACAATTATTAAGCATGTAGGCGTATGTTGAAACAACATGTGAAAAGTTTTTATAACAATGGCTGTATTTACTCATGAAGTACCATGTTTCCCTGAAAATAAGACCCTGACTTATATTTTTTTGAACCCTGAAATAAGCCTTGGCCTTATTGCCATGCCCTCAAAAGCCCGATTGGGCTTATTATCAGGGGATGTCTTATTTTGGGGGAAACAGGGTAGTACTGTATATAATGAAACAATAAACTTTCTGGCCACATTGGATTATCTGATGCTGAAACCTTCCCTGTTTCTTCTTTGTTTCACCAACCATACTTAGGTTGGTGAAATGCTTTTTTATATATTATGTGAACAGCCTAAATAACAATGTGTAAGGTACTCCTACCTGGTACTTTTAGATATGTTGAACTAAAACTCTTATCAAACCAAGTTCATTTAATACATTCAATCAGAGAAGGATAAAGTAAGACTTACCCTATCTCCTGGTTGGGACAGTTTATATACAAGTATCTTTTAAATTTGGAATATAATTTCCCACACACACAAACACCTTTTGTCAATAGCCTTGATAGCCATTTTAGTTTAAAATCTTATTTCCATGACAACCAGTAGTTCCTACATCCTGGTTTTAGCAGAGGTAGTCACTGAAAGTTATGAAAAATCTATCTAGTAAAAAAAATCGATCTTGCAGCAAATAAAATTCTGAAGACATATTTTTTCTTGTCCTTTCTCCTCCAACTTTCCATACTTTATATCCTACTTAACCATAGCTGCTTGATCTTTCCGTTCCAGATCTATGCCCATGAAAAACGTTTAAAAAACATGACAAATGACATGGACTTTATTCTCTAAATTTATTATCAGTAGTGAATGTGAGCAGGAAAAGATCAGGATTGGAAAGAAGTTTGTAACAATTAGTACTTTTACTGTAAAGCATTGTGTCCTCTGATGGTCTAAGACAGGGGTGTTAAACTCAAGGTCTGGGGGCCTGTTCCGGTCTGCAGCGTGCTTAGATCTGGCCTGCGGGGCCACCCTGGAAGCAGCGACGGACTGGCCCACGTTGCCTCTGCCAGCGAAAATGGTGCTGTTTTTGCTGGCAGAGGGTTGCAGGAGGCCATCGCAGTCAAAAACGGAGCTCAGGAGCGCTCAGGCCACCATAGGCACCTCCGACACGAGTGATGGTGAGCTGGCCATGCCCACCCTGGACACGTCCACTCCGCAGTAGTCAAACAAAACCCTGATGCGGCCCTCAATGAAATTGAGTTTGACACCCCTGGTGGCCATTGGTGGCCAACCTTAGTTTGCCTGGGCTGCACTGAGTGAAGAGGAATTGTTTTGGGCCACATATAAAATATATAATTAATGTATATAAATAACATAATGTTAAAAGCTTACGATCAGATTACTTCAGCTTTTATCCCATTCATTGTAAAATACTTTCTGCTAAATTCCTTATTCTTATGGAAGATCCATGTATTCAGCATTATTGATGTGCCCTAGATTCAAATTCAGGTCATATGCACAAAAGCACTTCATAAATGGCCCCTCAAAGCCTTAGACTAGGCGTCTCCAGCCTACAGGTTGCATGCAGACCTGGACAGTCAAGGAGAGCGAGCATGGTTGCACTACCTCTATCTCACTCTTGACAGAGATCATCGACAAGCGAGAACAATGCCGTTTCTGCCCCATAACCAGGCCTAAATCCTGTCTGAAAGGGATTAATTACAAAATATAGTTGTTGTCTAACTACAGACAAATACACTTTCAAAAAAACAATTTGACTACAGAAAGAAAACTATACCTTTGCTCGATCTGACCATCCAAATGACTGTACAGTTACATCCAGACGTTTCACTAATAATTTTCTCCGAACTTCATATTCATTGGCTATGGCTTGATTAATAGCTTCAATTTTTTCCTGAAATGAAAATTCACATATGCTGGAATTTCTCAAAACCTTGTATTACAGGATTCAAATAATATCTCAAAGAAATTTATTGGATCACTCAGGCAAAAGTATCAATCGCCCTCATCCCGGTAATAACAGATTCTCTCTCTGTGTGTGTTACAATTCATGTTTTCTTTGATAGACAAAGAACAGAATAAGATTCAGTAGGGCACAAACTCCAGAGCAGAGGTGACAAATTCAATCCTGTTGCAGGCTGTGTCTGGATTTTGTTGCCCTTGGGGGGCTGAGGTGGGTGTGGCCTGATTGTCATGGCCAACTGGATGAGCGTGGTGAGGCCCGGGGCAGCAGGGGCTGGTCCTTTGCCGTCTTTGGAACGGCCCGAGAGCCAACTCTGCGTCCTATCGTGGGTCAGACTGCTCTAGAGGTTCTAAACCAGGGGTGTCTAACCTTGGCAATTAAAAGTTGTGAACTGGCTGGGGAATTCTGGGACTTGTAGTCCATAAATGTTAAAGTTGCCAAGTTTAGATACCCCTGTTCTGAACTATGTTTTAAATCTAACAACAATCAGTATTATTTTTCTAAGCTGTTTTTTCCAACATTTAGCTTATTTTGTAATGTGTCTCCTAGACAGAAAAAATGTAAATGCACCTTATAAATGCATTTAATAATGCACCTTATAAAAAATATCTAGAAACTACAGTGTCATAGACTGAATTCAATCTGTTGTTTGATTCAATGTATTATTATGGGAAATAATAACCATCCACATGTACATGATTTTGGGCAGTTAACCAGAGTTTAAACAATAGAGAAGTTAAATAATATTCCAATGGTTATATTTGGAAAAGCACACAATTCCATAACATATATGATCCTTACCAGCTGTTATATCCCCAAGTCCTCCCTCAGCCCAATGTCCAAGGAATTCTGACTATAACGTCAATTTCAAAAAATTTATATCACATGCTTTGTTGTTTTAATACAGATTAAGTACAGCACCAGTGCCAATGAATAGAATTAATACCAGTAGTGAGATTTATAAGCAAATCCTTACCCAATGGACTGGACCCAATGGTTTCGACAATAAAGGTTTTCCTACATGATTTGAAGGGACCTTTGCTAATGTTTCTTTTAACTGTAACAAAATAAATTGTATTAGTGGATTATATAGACAAAAAGCATAAATATGCAGATATTCAAATTTGTGTTTCAGATCTATGTATAATAAACATAATACAGGACAAGGTCTGTTCAAGGACATCTTATCTTTTCAACCCCATTGCTCTCCCAACAATTATTCCAGATGATCACCCAATCTTCCATTATTTTGAGAAGAAGAGTGGGCTGCAGGAGCAGAGAAGGAATTATCCTCCTCCCCGCTTACAAATGGAACTGCTACTATATTTTAAAGAATTCTATGTGACATTATATTTTTTTTATAACAATTGCATGGTGCAATACAGGAATTATCTTGATAAAAGAATAGGTATCTGTTGCAATGTTTTAAAAAATAAATTAAAGTGTATGAAATCAAAATAAAGTAAGAAGATAAAGAATCCATAGCATGTCAGTACCATTGTTAACACATCATTCAGCACAGCAAAACTTCATATTTAAGGAAAAAGTTATAGTATTCAAAAATGGGTAATAGCTTCTTTATTCCAGCAAACTTAAGTACAACATTAAATCTGCCGAGCATCTAACAGAGCCTAACATAATTGTTTACTACCTCTTTTCATTTTCTATTATAAAATTATGAAGACCGCTACTACACTTTCTCACATGGATCAATACCAAACTGGATGATTCTGAAGAACTCAATGTTTGTACCATTTTGGTTGGCATTATAAACAGTGGTGGGTTGCTACCGTTTCGCCCCGGATTGGGCGAACCGGTAGTGGCGGTGGCGGCAGGCTCCACCTGGATATCTCTACACATGCACAGAAGCATCACATGAGCGCATGCACGAGCAAACCGGTAGCGACCAAAATTGTAACCCACTACTGATTATAAATGTAAGCCTCTCCTATGGATTTTGAAAGTTGTAGAGGGACTAAGGAGGGCTCATGTGTTGTTTTTTTACATCAATGATATATTTTATAATCCTCAGAAAAACATTTATGATTTCAAGCAATTCTGGGGGAAAATGTGGGCGACTCCTGCATTAGCTTACCAAAAATTCATAGCAACTGAACACCATGTTCTACAAGCCAAATTGGGCATACAGTGGGATAATCTTTAAAGGGTCTTTTTGATATCTCTGCCAGTTAAAATGAGCCACCTAAAATAATTATAGAAAGATGATCTTTTTGGTAATATTGCTACAATTGTTATAGCTATTCCCATTCCCAAGAATGCTTACTTTGTGCCTATTTTAATTATCATTCCAGAATAATATGCCACAGTAATCACTACCTATGCACTAGGAAGTTATTGTATGTTCAAACCTTTAGTTCTTACCTTTTTTTCTATTCCACTGAAGAACTGGAGCATTGTTATGTTGGCTGGGGGCTTTGACATGCCTAAAGCAATGCATATGCCTTTTAATTCCTGAAATACTTCACTACCAGTACCTTCCTGAGCTTTTTTCGGGGGAGCATTCACATACAGCATTTTAGCAGCTTCTAATTCTGAGATGAGGTATGCTGAAAGATGAAAAGTTACCATTCAGTACAGCAGAGATCATTTTTAAAACGATCACTTATTTTAAGCCAAAAAAATATAATTTTACACACTACATTGTGAGAAATGATTAAATAAAAGAACAGCCTTAAATAGGATGACCTAAAGATAAACCCATAGCCAGGAACAACCCTGACTAGAGAGCAGATAAGAATTAATTATTGAGTCAGAACATGGCATAATTCATATAATATTAAGGAAAATTAAACAAAGTGTAGATCACATAGCTAAAATGGAAATTTATTTTCATGTATTTTTCATATACCAACCATACAAACTTGCGTTCAAGAACAGTTTATAATCTAAACCACCAAAATGATGATAAAGAGCAACAGCCTTGCAGAAAAACCTTCTGTTTCATAACATCACCTGTGAATTTCTTTTAACTGTCAAGGCAGATCATCTTGCCAGCAAATTTTATTCCTAACAAGCAAGGGAAAATGTGCTTATTTTGATTCAACAACCAATACTGTAGCTACATGACTTCTGGTTTACTTGGGACAATGTTAATGTTACTCCATCCTATGAATAAGAGCAACTAACAAATCAGGATAGTACACAATCTTAGTGTTAAATTATTTCTTTTCCAGCAAGGTATAAATCTAGGTTCCCATGTAATACGAACAGCAAAACATTGATTTGTCTACAGACTAAAGGAATCAGGCTCAATTAACAACAGCAAGGAGGACTGGACTGTCCTGTTCCTAATTAAACAAAAATGCAAAAATTTTAATCTACTATGTAACTATGGTATTCCATGGATGCATTACCAACAGGACTTGAAGCTGGTGCTTCAGCATATCCATTTTCAGTCTCTCTCCAATTACCATTAATCCCGTCCTATGATTCTAAAGATCAAAAGTGGCTTAATGGTTACCACCATTTGGAGAATACTATACTAACTATATAATTATTTTCTTCATTTTTTACTGTTTTCTGAAGTTTCGTTTCACTTACTGAGGAGCAGGAGGCAGTTTTTTTGATTGAGAAGGCGCTTGGTGACGTCTCCTGATGTTAATGTTGTATAAGGACAATTCATTTCACCTAGTAACCCACTAATTTCAAGCTGGAACTCATCGGCTTCACTTGGACCTTAAGACATAGATATTTTTAGGTTATAAAAACATCTCACTCATTAAATATCCAAACAAATAGCCAACATTGATTAATGAAGTTTAAATTGCATCACTTTTCTTGAAAACACAAATAATAAAGTTTTCTAATAAAATTAAAAACTAGAACGCATTGTGAACAAGAAGGGGAAAAAAGGAATGATTCAATAGTAAACTAACCTTTTTTGGTTATTCTTAATAAATATATGCACATAAATGGAATTATTCTTATTAGCTGTAGTGCTTAATAGTTATTTTATCACAAAGGTACAAAAACTGTTACATTAATACCGAAGGAGATACATAATAAATGTCAGGATTAGTAAGACTGACATAACAGTATAAATGATGCTGGGATCCTGATTACTTACTGTTAGTTGCTTGTACATTTTCCTCTAGTTTGCAAAACAGTCTCAACTCTGAAACCAACCAAGCACAGAGTTTGGTATATTCAGGGGAAGTGGCTCCACCAGAAGCTGCCAGGGTCAGAGCTCCATCTTCTAACAATGGACCTTTGTAACTAATAAACAAAACAAACACATGATATCTCAAATCCTTTATGCAATGTATAGGATACTCAATTTATTGTATATATAATAACAGAAATTACAATACAGATAGTCCTTGGATTGCGCCGGCAATTGGGACTAGGACTGTGGTCACTAGGGATGCAGTCATAAAGTATGCCATCACATAACTTAGCTAGACAATCCTAGTAGTCACACTTGCCATCATAACCTCAGGGATGTACAGATCATTAAGCAGGAAGAAGGAGGAGTCACAGAAAAGTAAGGAGTATGAGGGACTGGGGGCCAGGGACCAGTGTTGCAGGCAGGGGCAAGGTGATAACTGTGGGGCAGGCAGTGGGAAGCATGGGTGGCTGAGTGAAGGCTGCAGGCTAGTGGGTGGGGATGCTGAAGTTGTGTGCTAAGGATCATGGGCAGAGGAGGGGGTGCTACAGAGCACAAGACCTCTACAATCTCCTTTGCTCCTCTCTATCCTGCATATAACGGTAACAATCCTCTGCACTTTGTTGAATCTTGTGTAGATATTTGTTTACTTACAAGTTCTAAAGTGTACATCTTCTGCAGAAAAGTGCATATACCATCATATTCTCTACAGGAGTCAAAAGTATTACATTTGTATCACAGATTACCACCCTACTATTTTCAATAAGATTAAAGCCTTCAGGAATATTTACTATAAATATTACTAAAACAGATGCTGTGATCACAAGAAATCAATCCTACAGTTATTTAAGTTTCTGGATTTTCTCTGCAAAGGTTTATTATAATATTGTAATACTAGACAGATTAAACATATATATATATACTCTACTCTCTCAGGCATATTGAGCAGCAACTGTATATTCTGAGATCCTCCTCCGCCATCATAAATATACTTATTTTGCCCTTCCTTAGAAGGAGTTCCTAGCTATCTTCCACCTAGATTAGTTCCATTCTAACTTGACTTCAGTTACCATCAGGTATTCCAAGATCATTAACTGGAGTGAAGCGAGTGGATCTTCCTGTATATGGTGCAAATCTTGTTAAAAAGCCAACTGAAAGATCCACTGACAAATCTCCCATTCCCCCCCCCCCCGAATAACAGGAGACACTTCAAAGAAGAGTCAGCAATTAATTGATTAGAGGAGGAAACAGCCAATGGGAATTAAGTGCCAGGAAAAAGAGAATATCTTCAAAAGACATTGTGATCACCCCAAGGAGACGGAGAGTATGCTAAAAAAAACAAGCCCAAAAATGTTTTTATGAAAGAATAAAAAAGATCCAACTACACACACACACACACACACGCACACGCACACATGAGCTCCGGACAGCTCCTGATCTTGAAGACTTGGCTTTTCAAACAAATAGGCTGAGACTGATTCCGGGCTTTATTATTTACTACTAATTAATTATTTGGATTAAATTATGATTTTATTGTACTTGTTTCTTAACTTGTGTTCGCCGCCCTGAGTCCTTCGGGAGAATGGCGGCATATAAATACATGTAATAAATAAATAAATAAATAATACACACACATACACACACACACACACACACACACACACATATATACATACATACAAATATATACATATATATACATAGATAGATAGATAGATAGATAGATAGATAGATAGATAGATAGATAATGTTTTCTGAGGTTTTCGCGGGTGTTTGTATGTAGGTCTTTGGTTATTCGGGTTTTCTCCCGCGTAAAATTGGAATATATATACACACGCATATATATATATGTTTCTCGTACTCACCCGAGGTCTTCAAGTGACTCTAAAATGTCATTCTCCATGAGTTCCAACTCCATTCTGGGGCTTCAGAATGAACACAAAAGGAAAACGAAAACTAAACTCTGGAGCCTGCAAACGATTATGGGGGAAGGGAGAGAAAAAAAAGATTCAATGAATCTAACCGACTCAAGAGTGGAAAGAGCCTTTTCCTCCATCGCCTCCTCCCCTCCCCACCTCCCCCACACCGAATAAGGGGCAAATCTGCCCCACCTGAACTCTGGGCGCCTTGTCTTAACGAGAGACCCACCGAATTCCGGCTCTCTTTTCCATCTACGGTGACCCCAAATTAAGCCGCCACCCCGGTTCCACACCACCTCGCTCTCTATCCAGTGCTGTGTTCAGAAGTAGATCTTCCCTTTCCCCCTTCCCTGCAAAGGCGGGAGGGGGGGGGGGGCAGAGGGGGGTCCATCCCCCCCCCCCCCCGTTGCCCCCCCCCCCCCAACCCCCCCCCCCCCCACCGCCTTCACCCACCTCCTGCGCAGCTGCTACGCCGCGGAACGCTGCTGGGTTGGCATGTCAGAGGAGGGGAGGGGGGGGAAAGGGCGGAGACAAGGAAAGCCCCCTCCCCTCCCATGACTGACCTCTCACCTTGCCTTTGAAAGGTCGCCCAAGCAAACGCCTGGTTTACATAGGTCGCGCTCTGCGTGTTCTAAACTTGCCGGCTTTTTTCCCCCCTCGCTTTATTAGAACGTGTCAGTTTGAGAAAATTCTTGCCTTTGTCTCCGAGGGTTAAAAAAAGTCAGGTTCGACGCGCACTAGGGATATTCTGGCAGGCATAGCACAGGACAGCCATACAAAGAATTCCTTTTCTTTTTTTTTTTGCATCTGCGAGGAGACCACGTTGGAAAGCGTTAGGCCTGAAAAGGAAAGAATGACGTAGAGGGATAAGTGACAAAAGTACTTCAGGCGACAGTCGTTCTCTTGATGAAAACTACAAATCCCAGCATGCCATCGGGTGCTTCTGTAACCTAACGGAGGTGGTTTAATGCTCGATTAACCTTTCGAGTCTGGAGCACGTTTTTGGCTCCCTCGTGCGATTGAGGACTTTTGTGAAAGTAAGCGGGACTATCTCGACGCTTTATTTCAGTTTAGGTCCTTTATTACCACTAGGGGGTGCGTTTTGAACTTCTTACACTAGCCACGTTTATAGATGGAAAAGCAACATTTGAATATAGATCGATGCTAAGATTAACTGCAAAAAGAAAAAGAAAAAAGAATTGAGGTGGAATAGGAGACCTAAGCCGCCGAGTTTAACTATCAGTGCAGGAATCCAAAATTAAAAGTGTTTGGGAGAGATTTTAAACATCTAATTAAGAAAAGCCCACCTGTAACTTTCTATTCCAACCTGACTTTCTTCTAATTTAAAGTCATTCTGTGTCCTGCATCTGGAATGTTTCCTCAACTATCAAAATTTATATTTTTAGGTGATTTATACTCTAAAAACAGCGTTTCTACCGCAAAAAGAAAAATTAAAGTCAGTAATTGTTCCAACCTGTCAGGATTCAGCAGTACAGTTTTGCTTGATGTAAACAGATTTTCTTCCAATAATGGCTCATATTGATCAGATCTGCTTTGCCCAGAAAGGAAATGTTTTCCTGTTTTAAACCCATGATAGCTTTCTTCAACTTAAATCAGTATCCCTTTTAAATAGTCTTGTGCCAGCTCTTTTAGAATATGCAACTGGACAAATATGGACATCGTGAGTCATATACTTGATGAGATGAATTTGGTCATGGACATTGCATGTATACTCAGCAAGTAAAATGAGTCCAACACAATTCTATCTACTACCAGAACAAAGTCATTGAGATGGATAATTTCGTTGAAAACAGGCTGTTGTCCGTTTTTTTGGTCATTGTGGTATTTTCTTTTCAGTACAGTATTATCACCTTATAAGGCTTCTGAGTGATCCATTTTTTTCACCCGGCTGGAACTTTTGGTTCACCTATCTTGGTAGTTGCTTCCTATTTTCCACAGATTTTTAGCCACTGTGTCAACACAGTGATGCTATTACAAAAGGTATTTTGTAAGCAATGGAGTGAAGGAATCTGTATAGCCCCAGGAAGGTAGCTTAACTTGGCAAGCCTCAATGTATTGCCATCTTTTGTGCTCTCCCATTGATCAGCTGTAAAGAACTTTCCTGTTTTCAGTATTTCTCAACTGAAGGATCACCTTCAAAATATTTGAGATAAAAGTGGAAATGCCATGTGTGGTGGAAGTTGCCTAGCAGTACATAACATGAATTGAGAATAAGGACACATTTTATTAAAAAGCATAGTCAAGTTTACTAGGTGTGTGTGTAAGTAACCAAGTGCATCTTTGCTTGGCAACTCGGATCAGAGCAAAGTTATTGCAATTGTAGAAGATCTGGTATACCATCTGGAGCAGGTGTGACACCCAGTCTGCATTTCACTGCCTTCACCTGCCATAATTCCTGAATGTTGGACCAAACCTCAAGGTCTGTCTGTGCCATTCCTGATATTTAGAGTGGGGAAGCAAGGAATGTTGCGGGTCGTCACCTAAGGAGGTAAATCTGGTGGGACCCAGAAGGGCCCTGTTCCTGTTCCTCCCTTTGGAACATCATCCTCAAGAGTTTAGACTGGCCCCCACTTGGACACTCTTTCACAAGGCCCTGAAGAACTGGTTCCGTCAACAGGCCTGGGGAACCCAGTATGGGATGGAGCCCATTAAGTGAATGGATCCCATCCGCCCAGTCATTGGATATGATATGGGTGGCAAATAAATTTTATAAATCCATAAATAAGTGGTTCATTTGATTTTATGTTGTTGCCAAGGAGGTTGAGGGGTTACTGATTTTTATTCTTTTTTTTATTGTTTGTAAGCCGCATAGTCATTGAGAGTGGTAGCCATATAAATCTAACAAACTTCTAATTTTAAACTAAATCCAAAGAGAAAGCTCTATCCTAAAAAAAACTTGCGCTGCTTCCAAGGCTTTACACAAGGTACAGATTCTTTCAGGCTTTGCTTTTCTTGACTGAAAAGTTTGAGTCTTTATAAATATAGCTGAAGTGCTACATGGATACATAAGAGGGAAGCTGGTATCCACCACAGAAATACCTACAGTGCTTTCAATCGCCCACTACCCGTACCACCCAAAGCAATTGTAGGCACATCTATGCAAGTAACCTAATTGATGTGCAACCTGAACAGGGCTCCAAATCAGTTAACATTTTTCATCTCAGGCATAACTCTACCTCAGGACACAGAATGACTCCGATCCATTATTTCTGCTGGGTTATCTTATGAATCTTTATGAATGAAGACGGAAACTGAGGGAAATAAATTTCAAGATCTATTTCCTCTACGTTTTTCACAGACAAATGAGAAAGTATTTTGTGTTTCCAATACATAAAATATTACTTAGGTAATTGTCTTATTAGCCACCTTCCACTCTCCATATAAATTTCATTGCTACAGAGTTGGGAAGCATACATATTTTATAAATGGTATCTTGAATTATTGAATTATCAAAGAATTACTGACAATCATAAAAAGAACAGTTGACAGAACAGCCAGGTACCTGAGTAATTTTATAATAATTTTAATGAACTTAGACATAGCAATAAACATATTTCTATAATCATATTGAAGATTCTAGCAACAGGCAATAAAACATTTTCTTCAATATCTACATCTATTTATCTTAATGTACAGCTCATATAAAATACTTTGCTCCATGTTTTCTCACATACAAGTGATATCAGGGGGGAAATATCTGCATCAAATCAAGTTATAAAAGCAAAACCTTAATACCATTAAAATCCACCAATTCAAGTAATCATAGAAAATTAAGAACTGCCTCAGTAAAAAATAAAAATGAGGAATTATGTATATCTTGAATATTATATAAATTGAGTTGCACACTTTTGCATTATTTTTCAAGATCTTTTCTGTATTTTCTAGAAATATTTGAAGCTACTGATATTTAGCAGTAAGATTTTTAAAAACAAATTGAGATGTTACGTTGAGCAAATATTAACTGAATAGTACAAATTATTTTGTTGTATCATTGTATATGTCATGGTGGCCAGCAAGAGAGGGGCCTAGAATGGGTCCTGAACTTTTTATATATACACACAAACACACACACACACACACACAGAGACTGATCATCCATCTTTTTCTTTGTGTGTGTGTGTGTGTGTCTGTCAGTCAGTGCCAGGCAAGGTAAAAGTTCCACATGGTCCTACAATTCTTTCAGTTCATTAGTCCTATAAAAGTTCTTGAAAAACTAATGTGTTGCTTTCACCACAGCTGTCTTAACTAGAAGCAGAATTTTACTGAATATAACCTCTCACAGATCAACAGTAAGATTAAAAGAAAAGCAGATACTATTATCTGAAGTATTTATTCAAATTGAGCTTAATTGAACTTACCTTCAATTAAGACTGAAGTCCCATCATCTATCCCTACAAATGATCTTGTCTGAAGGTTCAGATCTGAATTAGCTGATCCACACAGAATTATTTTAAGATTATGAATCTGATAGTTAAGTATTTTCAGTTCCATGAGTTACTGCTAAATTCCACAGAATTAGCAAGATCAAGGTGTTTTATTGCAATGACTTTCTAAAACATTTTTACATACATGTACACAGTTCTATTACTATATTATTATCTTAGTGAGATGGGCAGAATAAAAGTTTAAATAATAATAAAAAATTAATATTAAAGCTGCTATATTTATGTCTGAGACTGAGGAAAATTTCAACCAGAACAAAAATTACCTTATATTAATTGTGAAACATTATTGCTACTAACCAAAAAGGATGATTTTGTAATCAATCTCGTTCTCTGAATTAAAAAAAAAAAGAATTTCAATTACTGAGATTGATGGAAGTGTAAATGCATTTAAATGCACATACTATAATAAAAACGAACAATCTGAGCATGACATTCCATAATTGCTTCAAAGATTTTTCTTACTTCTACAATCCTTTCAATATCTAATTTTCTACAAAATGTAGAGAAATATAAATACAAATTAATGAAGAAAACAAGTTCCCAATATAGTTTCAGAACAGAAAAATTATGTATTTATGCTCAGATTTATTCATCAGAATCCAGATTTCTGTCAAATTGTCTTGGAAACCTGAGCTTCTTATATTTTGAATTATTACTGTGAAAACTTAAAAATTAATATTTGGGGGGAAATATTTTTAGACGTTCATTACTTCAGTGGATAGTATAGGACTTCTGATGTGCATTTCTTCAGCTATTTTTTTTTTCAATTTAGTGATTTTCAAACAGTTGATTGTTATGCACTTCTAAGTTGCTCAAGCATAGGTGTTTACCCTGTTGAATAGTAATAACACTGTTAACATGGGGAGTGATATGCATATAGCTTGATATTTTTTTCCAGTATGTAACACAGCATGTAGAGATTTAGTACCAGCT